ATCGGTAACACATGCTTTGTCGCATCGCTCAAGAATCACGAGATTTTGAATTCCCCTTATCAGTAGCCCGAAGACTTCAAGGAGCGTTAACAATGACTTTGTCTCCCAAAGATTTCAGTGTTCTCGGAGAATGTTGGGTTGGCTTTGACTAGCACCCCTGGAAGCATTGCTGCCGGGGTGCCGAAATCCCGTGCCGATAGAACCGAGTGATATTACGTGACTCAAATTACGGGAACTTTACTTTATCCCTTAAGCTACTAAAGCTGCTTGTTTCTATAAGAATGCATCGTAAAGAGTGGTTGTATCGGGATAGTGCGCACATTCGGTTATAGACACTCATTTTCTCGTAAACATTCTCTGAATAGACAACGTCTACATGTAGGTACTAGCTATAGATATGACATGGTCAAAGATTCCGTTGACCTTGACAAAGAGTCGCATATAATCCCCGACTTATATATCATTTGATTCCTGACCGGACTTGGCGCTTTAATTGTGCGTGGGGATTTAAGGAATGTCCTGAAGAACAGGGAGCTATCGACTAGAAGAGCATTAGCGATGAAATCATTATGGCTAGTGATGATAAAAGGAATTTGATAACTACATGTACGGAGATTGAGATTGAGGGTTTTTGTGTAGAGGGGACAGGGAGAGATTAAGTTTGGGTGTTGATGGCGACGATCTGCTCACCCGGAACTGCATGTACTTGGTACATGTATTTCTTACGTACGTGTATACCGAGTTCCAGCTGCGAGGCTTTGCTTCCTCTACTAAGGCCAACGGCGTAAATCATTCCCCATTTCTGGGACAGGTTCTAGGAGTGACCAGTTCTTATCTTCACGTTAGATCTGAGTATGTGATGATCGGAACAGCTCAGGGGGTCCATCACTCTTTACTTGAGCAGGGCACTACACACACCCCATAAGACAGAGGCGCTACGAGGTACATGTAGTTCTATCCACCCGCCTTAAGCTTTGGCGGTCTCTAGACTACAACACGTGAGTGTCATCACCTCCCTTGCATCTTTCAGAAGCCCGCTAAAGTTTAACTGCTGCCCAGCCCTGCCCCAGCCATAGAGGCGAGTTCGGAAGGTACCCCATCTTGTTGAGAGCGTCACCATCTAGGAGTTAGGGCTGGTCAAATGATAATCCTCATGTTCAATTTGTAAAAAAATCTCTGGACACACGCAGTAAATGGATTAACAATAGCAACAACAATCTTCGAAGAAAATGAGGGCTCGGAATAAACGAGTGATACCACATGACCAAGAAAACAAAACTGAATTTTCCTGTTCGAGATATCGACAGCAACCGCCAACTCACTAACAGCCGTGCCAAACCTCAAATCCCTACTTTTGGGTTGACATCAATAGGCTCGCAGCTTCCTGGTTACAAGCCGGTGCTTGCCAAGAAATGAACACGCCGCCTATGAAGAACAAAAGACCACCGGTGAGCAGGATATAAACACAGATATCAAGCATATTAACAATTCGATCATCTATCCATTATCTACTATATATATATAAATCCTAGTCGAAACGAAGAAAGGTACCTACACACATGCAAAAAATTAGAGGGAGTGGGTGAAGGGATAGAAAACGCTCTCGATAGATGACGCGGATAAGAAACTCCATTTTAAAGGAAGAATACTATCCAGAGCGAGACTTCAGGCTAGTAGTAGGGACTTGTGTCCCCACGACATGTGGCTGGAGCATGTTGGATTAGTGGGCGGATCATAGAGAATCACTCGTTGCTCATACTCTCCATTAGTGTGGTCCATGAGCCGGCTCGAGTCTAGCCGGACAAAAAGCTCGAGTTGGCTCGGCTCGATGGGTGTAGGACTCACAGGGCTCTAGCTTCTAGTACAGGCTTATGATACAGCTCGAGCTTGTGGTCAATGACCAGAGTTACAGGTTTTTTCCTTGCAAAGGTGGGGACATCGAAAACAGCGAGATTGGCGAAAGTGGTTTTAATAATAGCATTACCTATAACTCACCAATGTATAAAGATCATTATAAGCCCCAATTTCCAGTTCTCATCTCTCAAATACATATCTAGTTAAAAGCATGGCAATTTTGGCTCGAGCCGAAGCTTGTGTATTAACGGAAAAGTCTTGAGCCAGCTCGGCTCATGAAGGGGTAAGGCTTGCTCTTAACGAGCCAAAAGCTCGAGCTGGCTCGGCTTATGGACCACACTACTCTCCATCATTTGCCATGGATGATTTAACTAAGTGCAACATAGGCTACCTCTCTGGAGATGGAGATCGATATAGTTTAGACCCTTGGGTTCGTAGATAGAAGTATGTCTCAGATTTTACTAACCTCATCAATTTTTCAACTGAGCCAGCACCTACTTTCCAGAAACTACATATATATATATATATATATATCCCTACGCCATGGTCCATAGAGTCCCAGCACATTACAATCCTATTTCGGCGCCATTACCTAGGGGATTTAATTTCAATATGGTCTTTGAGCTTGCGGTTGATGATTGAAACTCATGTTTGAGCGTTATCCACGGATCTACATATTGATGGTTGGGGCCTCGAGGGAGATACGTGTTGTAGAAACAGGGTACTGCTGATTCTTCATTCTATATCCTATATCTTGGAATAAGGAAAATGACGTTTACTGCAAGCTCAATGATAATCAAAACAAACAGAATCTCTTGACAATTACCATGGCCTAATATATACTACTGTCCAGTGAGGGTCCTCGTGCAAAACTTAAACTACAGTTATAATAAGACGGGTATATAGGCTGTCCGATATAAAGATAAACGGTTTAAACTTGTTCGGGTTTTCTCTTTTTGGGCTCGTCAAAAGATGCGTCAATTCGGCATATAAAAAGGCCAGCGATTATTTCCTGGGAGAACATAGCCTAATGCGCATGTGCCTGCTCTATCATTTCTCCCAATATGCCCCGCCAGGCTCGAGCCCCCGAGTGAGGATACATGGATCGATACTACTGTTTAGAATAAGATATTATATTACTTTCGTAGACGCACTATAATAACTTTATTTGTTCTCGCTCCATTTGAATTTCCATTAACTATTGTATTTCCGAGGACAGTCCAAACAAGGGAATTACATTTAGTGTTTCACGTGGGTTATAAAAAGATAGTATCTCCTCAGAGCCTCCCGGTGTCTCTTTATCGTTAAGTGGCAATACGCGTACGACAAGTTATAATTTTGTTCAAAATTTAAGTGCGAATCTACCTTGAGAGCTTTTGTTTCGTTTCGCGCTTTTGTTTTTTCCAGCTCAATGAACACCGCCATCAGGAATATTTCCTGTGATGGTTGAACTCGAGCCTATCGCTAGCCTGGCCGTGGTCCATCATCTGCAGTGCGCACTTGTGTGATAAATGTAGTAAGCTGACCGATCACGCACAAAGATGAGGGAGAAAAAAAAAGGAAAGAAGATATGCAGGAACGCGCGCCTACTGGTTGGCGCAACGAGTGATTTTGGATGAGCGACAGGAGCCTTTTGACCAATGGGCAGAATTCGGCTTACTATTCTTACAAAATTTCTAGGGGATCTTCACCAGCACATATGTCCGCATATCCTAATATTATCAGGTTAGGCAAGAAGGCAGGAATTATCTACCACGATCGAGTACGCTGTCAATGTAACTCCCCAGTACGGCTTCTTCCGTTCAGGCCAACTAGGTATTAACTCCTGCGACAACTGCTACCACACTGTAACTGTATCGCGACAACCTCCTCACGCTATACCTCGCACTCCACTCTCACCAGCGCAGCACCTACCTACCAGCACTTCCACAATGTCCCCCAACCTCACCCTCTTCTCGGTAGCACACCCACCCCCGACCCGCCCTACCCGCTGCTAACCGCGCCTCCCCTCGACCTAGGTAAACGCGATCCTCCTCCTGACCAACACGGGCACTCGCCTCCTCGCCAAATACTATCACCCCCCGCACTCCCCCGCCAGCAGCGCCCCGCCCTACCCCACGCCCGCCTCCCAGGCCGCATTTGAAAAGGGCCTCGCTGAGAAGACGGTCACCGCCGGAAATGATATCATCCTCTACGACGGCCGCGTCGTCGTCTTCAAGGCCGAGGGCGACGTCGTCATCTATGTTGTTGGCGGCGCCGACGAGAATGAGCTCCTGTTATGGAATGCCCTACTGGCGCTCAGGGATACGTTGAGTATACTGCTGAGGTGTGTATTTGCTGTCTACTGTCTTGTTTCAATTGCAAGGAAGCGAGGGTTGGGGCTGACGACGTGCGGCCGGTAGGAATACGGTGGATAAGCGTACCATCTTGGAGCACTTTGATGTTGTCTCACTGGCTGTCGACGAGGTTGTCGATGATGGGGTAATATTGGAGACGGATCCGGCGACGATCGCAGCGCGGGTGACGAAGCAGCCCATGGAGGATGCGCCGAGTGTCAAGAACATTGACCTCTCGGAGCAGGGCCTTCTCAATGCGTGGGAATTTGGCAAGAGGCAGTTGGCGGATAGACTGAGGCAAGGATTGTAGAGGGGAAGAATAAGAGAATAGGAAGAATAGGAAGAAGAGGAACGAAGGGGAGTTCTTCTTGTAATTAAATATCTAAGATAACTAGCTAATAGATGATTTGGGATGATTCTGTTTCTTGGTTTTCTTTTCTTGCTGGGTGGTATTAGCAGTAGTACATACATGTAGTAGTAGCAGTAGATTCGCACACCTGTGTGCCGGGTGTAGATAGTGGGTGCTTAATACAATGTATATGTCTGTGGATAGGCACATCTCGACCAAACAAACCTACCGCGGTAGACAACACGCATTGGCCGAACAGCCGAGTGACATCCAGTGATGAATCCTTTATAGAGCTCCTAACCCCTTTACATACTCGCCGGCACCACCTAAAATAGCCACATACCCTACCAGCGATCATTTCCGCAGCAGCAAAAAAGAAAAGAAAAAATGCACAAGCTTATCAACAAAAATCACCCTACATAATAAGAAACCAGTCACTAGTGGCAGTAGACAAGCATGCCTCAGTCCCCCGCCAACTCCTTCCTCGCCCTCTTCTCATCCTCTACCGCCAACTCCAAGGCCTTTAAGGCCTCCATCAGACTACAGCTCTCCTTCTGAATATACGCCGCATGCATCAGCACCGGCAGCCTCCTTAATGTCCGGCCCGAAAATTCCGTACACTCCTCTGCGATGCGCCATAGCCTGCTCGACGCAAAGCAGGGCTGCGAGAAAAGTGTCAAGCTGGCTTCTTCGGCCGTGGCAATTTCTGTCTATCTAGACTCAGTGCACTCCTCTTTCTGAGGGGTGATATACACTACCATACCTGCTCATCAATCAGTCCGCAACGAATAAGTTCGTTGAGACACGTCCGTAGAATGGTGTAAACGGCTTGTGTTTTGGGGGCACCGACGTACTGCTTTATGTCTGCGCGGTCGAGGAAGGCAGGGTCCATAGCCTCCAGGAGGTTTGAGGTTGTGAGCACGATCACCTACCGCCATTGTCGCCCGGGTTTGGTCAGCTGCTGGTTCTGGTAGGGAAACATTTGTTTTAGAGAGCCGCCCTCACGTTATTTTTGAAACGGAGTTTGTCAAGTGCTGTCAGCAGTGCATTCACGACCCGGAGGGAGTCGGAAGGCTCGTTGCCGCTGGCGGCACCTTTTCGGGCTGAGGTGAGAGATTCGACTTCGTCTGTCCCTCCGAATATTACCTGTTAGTAACATTGACTAAATACATAGTAATAATACCAATTGCTAGCGCTGCTACATGTAGTACTGTCCACTACTAACCGCTAGCCACTAACTACTAACCTATTAGTACCACAACAAATGTATCCTCGTCCGCCAGCATTTGCAGTATTTCATCAAACATCCTGCCCACGAGCTTACCCGACTCCGAGAACCACTTTGAAAACAGGCTGTGGCTATTAATCTCCACAAGCTGGCAGTGCGAGAACCGTTTCGACAGCCGAATCGAGAGCTTCTGTGCTAACGCCCGACTTCGCAGATCAGTATTAACACATAATCATGCAAGGTACATTGAATACCCACCACAGACTCGTTTTCCCGGACCCCGGAGGCCCATGTAGCAATATCAGCCTGTTCCAAGTCACACACATAAAGTTGACCTTCTTATCCGCAAACAAAACTACCACCCACACACCAGTATATCAGCACAGCTACCCGCCTCAGCTCCCAAGAGCACTTACTAATACTTGATATAAAATGTAACAACCCTCTCCTAATATCTGGCTCAAAAACCAGATATTCCCATAGTCCATCCAAAGCCCTACTCGGCAGGACCAACACCCTCGAGCTCGGTGCCTCCTCACCGTCCTCACCACCTGTCCCACCAAGTACATCGGTCCCTTCGTGTAGCTTATAAGCGCACACGTCTAGTAGTACCTCATCAAGGTGTAGTATCTCCGCTGTCGACCCCGTAGCCTCAACTACCGTGATTATCTCCACGCTCTCCGAGATTAGTGGGGCATCTTCAAAGACTGTGATATTCTGCGCGAGGTGCAGGGAGATGAAGTTGGCGTTGAGCCATTCGTGGACGTAACGAATAATAGAGTCAGGGCGAATTGAGGCCTGCGGGAGGAGGCGGACTTCGAGGTGGAGTGTGGGGATACAGGGAACGCAAGGATTGTTGCTCTTCGAGGAGAGGAGTGGGATGGTCGGGCATATTGCATGGACGGGTAGATCTGTGATCCTTGGAGTAGAGGGGACTACATTTGGCTCTGCGGGTGGTGAGGGCAGGGAACTGTAGAGTGCGTCTGCGGGGGGAGAGAAATTTCCGTCCATCTGGATAGCGGATGATGGATGGGTATACTGATAAAGAGTGGGCTGATAAACAGTGGGCTGATCTCGAAGGTCTCGAGATGAGTATTATGTTCCGGAAAGCTGGAATCATGCTCACACGTGGCCAGTACCTGGGAATTCACCCACTCTAACTTCTAAAGCTTATTTGGAGGCATCTGCTGCTGCTCGGGCCCGTAGATCCCCATAAGATCGTCGCACTGCTGGTTATTCTAGCGAGTGATTTTTAATGATCGGGAAATATCACTTAGATGATTTGGTTTAAGTGCTCCCTTCGCTTTCTACAAGGCACACTGCTATGGGGATTGCCTTTGTTTTGGCCTCGAGCTCTACTTCTCGCATCTCCTCTAGTAAAGCTCGGCTTGAGCTCTTGGGGGAGGCTAGGGTTACCTACACTACATGCATATGATGTAGGTTCAGAAGTTTACTCCCCTACATGTACCTACTAATCTACCAGAATAAGTCACGCTAGTAACGCACTAGTTTAATAAGAAACTACACGCAGTAGCAATTTGAGCTTAATCCTAATACTAATAATACAAACAAACACTGACGAGTGATTACGGATTAACAAATACATTTTTTTCACAGTGAAGAAACAGAGAAACAGAGAAAAGAAAGAAAGACACAAACACAGACATAGACACACAGAAATAGACACCATATTAACCAAGAGAAAAAAAGCACCTATACGCCCCAGACCCTACACCTTAAATCAAGAAGACGGAGGGGGAAAAAGAAAGAGAGGAAAGGAAGAAAGGAGTGAAGGAATGAAGAAAGGAAAGAAGGAAATAAGAGATAGCTGACTCTACTTGCAGGTTCAAAATCTAGGTTCTTAACATGAATACCAAATTCCAAATCGAAATTTACCGACAATTCCAAATTCCCAGCGCCAGTCCCACACGTGCACTACCACCTACCTTTATTTAGAAGTTCATCAACTTCAACCTCTTCTCAAATGGGCTCGTAACATGCTCCTCCTCCAAATCCTCCCATCTACCCCTCCTCTTCTTCCTTACCAGCAACTCCGGCGCTACGCTCGTCTCCTGCCTATCTCCCAACTCTTCGAAAATCCTCCCACCACTCCTCCAACACGCAATCACACTCAGAGCCTTACTCCCACCCTTCTCGAATGGGTTCTTTCCCTCTCTAATCATCCTATTGACAATCTCCACAAACCCGTGGGCAGTTGCAACTTCCAACTGCTGATACCCACCACGCTCCCCACTCACATCCTCCTCGCACCTTATTGCTAAAATAACGTCCTCGCGCCCATACATGACGGCCTTCTGCTCAGCCGTTAAATTATTATTCTTCTCGACCGCCCGTAGATCAGCGCCTCGGACCCTCAATACCCTAACTACCTCAGCACGCCCTGCCTCCACCGCGCAGAAGATCGGCGTCTCACGATCAGCGTTGCGCGCATTGATTTTTGCGCCGGCTTCTAGCAGCACCTCACACATACGCTGGTCCTCGCGTTTCGCGGCTATGTGCAGTGGAGTCTCGCCCTTCTTGTCGGGGGTGTCTAGCAGCGCCAGACACTCGTCGTAGCAGAGGATGTGGCGCATGCAATCTGGGGAACCTTTCTCCGCGGCATGGTGAAGAAGGGTTCTGTCTAGAGGAAGACGTAGCGGCAGCGCCGTAGGAAGCAGCCAGAATGGGAGAGCTGTCGCGGTAAGGAGAAGAGAGAAGAGGTCGCTTGCATCGAGATAAGTGGCGATCATGGTCAGGAGCTCGATGGGGAGTTCCAGAAGAGGAGAGATGGAATCTGATGAGCTCGAAGATGGGGCCTCAAACTCGGGCTCGGGGGTGGCATTTGTGAATTCTAGGAGTAACGGGTCTGAAGAGTGGTGGTGGTATGTTCGATACATAGTAGTTGATTGAAAGGTAAGTTTGGTCTGGGTTTGGATTATGAAGGCTGACTAGCTAGCTAGATGATAGAATTTATGAGGATCGGGGGTTCAAAAACAAGGTAAGTGGGAGCACGCTGAATACGATCGATAGAGATTCCCACATAGAGGTTATATAGAGGGGTTAAATACCAAATTATTGTGTTTAGTGTGCGCACTTGAGCTCAATTAATGACACGACCACACCACGTGTCTCATCCATCGGCCGGAAGAAAAAAATACATGTAGGCAAGTAAAATTTTCTAAGCTCCTCGAGTCTACTCCACTTTATTATCATGGAAAAGGAAGTAAACTGAGAGTGAATGAAAGAATCTCACATCGTTCTGTGACGTCGTTGATTCGATAAATCACAGCTACGCAGAAATTGCTCTACATGCGCAGAAGTCTGTTACTGGTAACTAAGCGGCGCGTTGAGAGCTTTTACCCTAGTTAAATTTCCCCCTTCCTGGCTATGGGATGCAACTGAAACGTTTGGGGCAACAACTGAATGAGGGAAATGTGTGTAACCCGTGCGGCGTGCGGGGGCCGGGAGAGCGCGCAATGGTCTCTATCTATCGCTCAAATTGTTTTACAACAACTCTGGCCGGGGGGTCAGCTTTATGAACTAGCCTTGGAAACATCGTGGCGATTTGTGGGGAGTACCGATCACTGATCAGAGCTAGTATGCGAGTGATAGTGTGTGTATTGATGATCAGCTCTGCAAGATTTCTGTGCTTCGAAACAAAGGTCTAGGAACACCACGAGTCATAAGACAGTCATTGGAGGTCGGCTACTTCATGTAGATACATGTACCTACAACACAGTGGTCGAGTTGTAAGCCAGTAATATCACTATATTGAGGTTCTCTATGCACACAACATCTCGCTGTCAATATCAGAATATTTCCACCATGGCCGGCGCTAGATACCTCGAATTGATAAGATAATTATAATAAAGTATCTACCGGCACTCTACTGCCGGTACTTGAATATACTACTGCACTCTCTCTAGATACCGGCCCAAGTCCAACCCTGGTACCATGATTCCACCCATACTCCCGAGTTTTAGTTTGCAATTGACCTCTCTTTACGTACTATTTGTATAATTGTGTGCGCATTGAATATCATAGTGGCATGCCCGCCGGACAAGGCTATCAGCCCTATACCGAGGACTAGTAAATGTGCATGCCTACCCCTACAATCATGTAGGGTAAAGTGACATACCTACTCTATACAGCACATATAGGTAGCTCGGAGTACGAGTGCGCACAAAACCTAGATATGCACATTGGGCGTGTCCGAAATTAAACAAACACTTAATCACGTGATTGTATGCAGCGGCTCTGGTAATCGGTAAGAACCTAAAGGTATGACATGAACCCTCCCCTGCACTCGCAGACCGAGCACCCCAGAATCTCGCTAAGGAATTTACTCCGGATTTTGACACTTGAGATATGTAGAGTACGCTTCTGTACGTACATACTGGTACTTACATGCTCCACTGCTCTGTGAACCCATCCTTCGAGCAAACTGCTATAGCAACCAAACAAGCAACAAGCATCGTCGTCGCCTTCTCTTTCCCACCACACACAAGGCAACAACACTCCAACAGGCATTAATCCTGTTTGCCGCCAGTTGCACCTTGTGGGTATTTACGATCTGAATATCACGCAGCTGAGCTCCTCCTAGAACCCTCTCTTCCTCCCCCATTGTTCCATGTCGTCTTCAGAGACCATCTTCTCCTATATCAGCTCCCTCTATTCATACCTGAAAGGAGCAATCGTGGCTTCCACTGGTCTCGCCGTGCTCCTCTCGGCATTATTGTACTTTAAGCAATCGTACGTCATCGCACGGCCGACTAGCAACCCCCCCCCCCCCCCCCCGCCCCAAATCCCCCCACTGAAGCTAACAAATACACCGATAGAGAGCTCATATATCCCAGATCAGTACCTGCTGGCGCACGAACAAACGTGCCGACTCCCCAAGAATTTGGCATCGATGACTGGGAGACAGTGGAGCTCAAGACGCCGGATCGCGAGATGTTAAGCAACTTTCTCTTGCGCACCTCGAAGAGGCCGCAGCTGGGTGTTACTGTGCGGCCCTACTACATGCGCTTATCGTGATTATGGCGGGTTGTTGACGGGTGTTATCGCAGGTGCTCTTCATGCATGGAAATGCTGGCAATATTGTAGGTTTTAGCCAGCTCCCCACGACTTCTCCCGTGTCACTGAGGCTGACATTGAACAGGGCCACAGACTACCAATAGCCCGTGTGTTTAGTGAGCAAATGGGGTGCCATATCTTCATTTTGTCCTACCGAGGGTAAGTTCTGTCGATCTTCGCCTTCTTATAAATAAGGCTCCCGTATTCACTGCGCGCGAACCTCACCTAGATATGGGCACTCTACCGGTCGTCCTTCTGAGAAGGGTCTGATGATAGATGCCCAAACAGCCCTCAATTACTTACTTACTGACCCCTCCACCGCCGGAACTTCGATCTTCATCTACGGACAGTCCCTCGGTGGGGCCCTCGCTATTCAACTAGTCGCAAAGAATCAAGACAAGGTCGCTGGTCTTATTCTCGAGAATACTTTCCGTTCAATCCGGACGCTTATTCCAACTGTTTTCCCTCCCGCGAGGTATCTGGCGAGGCTGTGCCATCAGATTTGGCCCAGCGAGGCCACACTTCCAGCAATCAAAGGAGTGCCGGTTCTGTTCCTCAGCGGCTTGAAAGACGAACTTGTTCCGTATGTTTCCGCTTGGTGATTGTTTCGTTTCATCCGATCCGAGCTTCTACAGGGTGTTTTGATTGGAAGCTTGATGAAACATGCTGACACGAGACAGACCATCTCACATGAAAACCCTGTACAACGTGTGCACATCCACCAAACTCTGGCGCGAATTCCCCGAAGGGACACATAACGACACCTGTGCGGAAGAAAACTACTTCGATTACATCCATGATTTTATCAGCGACATTAAATCCGGCCATTCTATGGATGAAATAAAGCCCGCATCAGATGATGTCAAAAAGATCTAATCTAAGACCTGCATAATGACTTCCTGATTATGCGCAAAAAAATTGAATCGTTAGCTTCCACGGTATTCACGGCGCTATTGGAGACACGGCGATCGTATGCATTGCACTTATCCTTGGTATATACCGACTGCTGGCAGAATTTCTATTTTCCCTTCATCTGTCGACAGCTCTTTTCTTTCTTCACCCTGTATTTTTATACCCTTCTAATCGTGCTACATCGTTTCGTAATGTAGATATCTTCCTTTGAAAGTGGGGGGATGATTAGAACTGATAGATAATCGAATGGTTGGTACACTCATCTGAACTTTGTGCGCAATTGATTTATAGAGGTTTTGACAGGGATTAGTATCCTAGCGTAGATCAGCCTTTGTGATTCAATTCCAACCCCTAGGTTGCACCTTGTTATTGTTGTATGTACTGACGTGTAAAGAGACGACGAAGTGCACATGTACAATGCACCCCTTTCTAGGAGATAATAAGCTAACGGAGCGATCCGGTATCAGGTTGAATGCAATCGTAGGGCTCTCATAGCCCATCACTCGAGTAGTTCCAGTGGCAAGAGCACACGTACATAATTCTCTGCGGGTAGCCTTCCGGTGGGTGGGAACGGCGTCTTAAGGTACCATATGACTTGCAATTGATAGCGATGCTGACTATATAGTGGGCAATTGCATAGTCCGTGGAATATTATATTGGACCTGATGGAGGGAAAAGGCGGAAGAAGAAGTACTTTGAGTGAAAGTGGAAGCGGGGGTGGTTGCGGTTGCGGTTGCGGTTGCGGTTGTGATGAATCGCTTTAACCTATGCGACGTTTGACCAAGCGAAATTTTCTTCGGGAGGCTGTGTAATCATCTCTTCACGAGTCGGGTAGCTTGAAAAACCAACACCGTGGGCCAGGTGAGCTGAGTCTGTGGACTGAGTTAACTATTGCTTGGCGGATCGATCTAGTTGATAATTCTTTTTGGAAGTTGATATTTCTATCTAGGTCAGATGAAATCGAGCTCTTTCTCGAATAATGCTATCAAGTCATAACATATCACTCGTCGTCATGGGTCCTTTTCTTTTTGAGGGCTGGATTGGCGTGCAAGAGATGTAATTGATGCGGATACTGAGTTTCCCACGAGTTGGGTGGGACTTAGGGACGCTGAAGGATTGTTTTTTCCAGGCTTTATGGCCCACAAATTGGATGATCCATTTTTCTAATGCTTTATCACAAAGGTCTGATTGATTCCTCCATGATGTTCCACAATACTGTCTCGAAGCTCTTCGATGGACAACCCCTGCTTAGTTGGGGCATCTGATACGTTTTCTGACCAATATTAGCGCGGACGCACTTCGACATCGTATATCATGCTATCTTAAGCATCATAGGTAGGTGGACGTCAGCGGTCAACTACCAAAAACTTCTCACAGGGTAAATGCACGTTTGTTAGTGTCCTTAAATAGGCTGTATCAACACCCTTGGTGGGTATTAAAGGAATTTCTACACAGGCCGGTATCGTACGGTTAACATATGAATGAACGTCCCATGATCATATATATGATCCATCAAACCTATTACTAGTATCATCTTAGAGATTCTTTATCCGGATCTACCAGATTTCAAAACAAACTAAACTGTCAGCAGGAAAGTTTGCTCCACCCATAATTCTCAAAAAAAAGCATCTCGTATGCCCCTAGCTTATACTGGACAATTGGGCACAATTGCTTGGGATATCATTCGTGTAAGTTTCTGCGGGCTGTAAGACATCTGAGAGATTAGAATATATTGTGATAAATCGTGATATGCCACCATTAGGATGGCTCTCCCAAAACTTGTTTTGGATATCAGAGGGGCTGTATATGTATGTGTGCGTGGAGGGTAGTTTCCTGCGAGAACACGTTATCAACATCAAAATCCATAGCCAGCACCAGTACCAGCGCAAGCGCCAGCCTTAGATTCTCTATATCATTTCCTCGGACCCATCTCATAATCATATCTCCACTGGATCCTCGTAAAGTACACCCTAAAGGGAGGAGAAGCAGTACGTAGGACGTAGATCATGATGGAATTAACTAAGACAAATCTGCACATCCACAGTACTGCGCACCGGGGGTATGGCGGCTATTGGGCCAATATACAGGGGCCTAGTTGGCTTCTAACCTGTAGACCGGATTTTACGTGTAGTTCTGAGCCTTGTGTTGTACTGACGTGTGATGATAAAGTGCACATAAATTAAGAACATGTCCTCTCATACAAGCGATCGGAACGATCCGGTTGTGATGCCTCGCCTTATGATTTACACTTGAGGAAGCGAACCTTACATTCTTAGGAGACTTATAACCATATTGACACTTTGCTATCGAGTCGGGTGGCTTCGCGCAACTACTAAACTATAGGAAGGCTGCGGATTTGGGAGCTGTGTTGGAAGTTATGGACGCCATTGTACGACTAGCTACTACATGTGAACTAATACTCAGAGTAATATGTCCTCGGAGAATTGAAATTTGGTATTGATGTCTCCCTCAGAAGAATTTAAGGTCAATTTAGTCATGAAATATCACTCGATTCCATAAAGCGTTAAACGTTGATATGTGGATTTCGAATATAGAAGGGTACGTCTGTATGTAATTACTGTGTTTTCAGTACTATTAGCAGTGCAAAAGCCGTGTTTGGCATCTGATCCGGTATATGCAGGGCAGTATATCGTACTGTGGTCAATAATCCTGTCTCTCTGTATTTCATGCATACTACCACGTAGTTACAAGTCCCTATATGGTAGTAGGAATATCTTTTGTAGTAGGTTAACATATTGGCTACATGTATCCGTGTTTGAAGGTGTATCTATCTAGCTAGACATATATATACCTCGCGGAGCTGAGGGTCAAATAAAACCGGCCGTTCATTATGGGCGACCAAGCTGTTCGCTGCATGTAATGATTTTCTCCCTTGTTCATATATCGATATTCGAGAATTATCTGGACACCAGGTAGCTATTAAAGACTAAACCATAGCCAGTACTCTTTATATAAAGCTGGATGTCTTGCGAACCCGCCTTGAGTGTTTCGTTATTACATGTAGTCAAATTACATAGTCTTGTATCGAGACAATATTCATATGGTATCACTCGACACCGGTACTTACCGACGCTCTACCAAAGTCATGAAGTAGCAAGTTTGGGGTCTCTAATTTATATCAGTGTAAGAAATGCGTTAGTTAGTACTATTAGTTATTCCGCTCTAGCCTATCTATCTAAGGATGTCGACTACCTAGGAATGCTTTACTATTACGGGTGGTCTTTTGAATTTTACCACTGCCCTGAGATCTGTCTATAAATCACGCCGATGGAAACGATGTGGCGTCCATTATCTTTGATATTAGGCCATTATTACGACGCTGCTGCTCGGGAAACGCTTTTTCAAGGCTACCTTGCCCACGTATTGAATTCCAATCCCCCAGAGACTGGGAGCTTCACCCTCGGTCATGCTTGACTAGCCTGCCTTAAATTCTCTAGAAGAAAGTTCACAACACCACGCTCAAAAGGCGTTTGAAATTTAGAGTTGCCTAACAAAGCTGGCTTTTCTACTTTCAACCAAAGTTAATTGTAAGTATCTCTGTGGAATGACTGCATCTAGTGCCCTTGACACATGGTCATATGATGAACACTGATCATTGATTACGAGCTCCACCCTAGATATCTCTTCCCAGAAGCATTCCCACCTTGGCAAGCAGCTACCCATTCAACTTCTTAAGAGAGGTGTGACAAGACAGAACTAGATCACTTTTTGTGAGACGATATGAGGCCAAAGACTAATCTGCAGAACAGTTTCATTCTTGGTTCATGAATCCACAAGGCGGCAGGACTTGAGGGAGAAGACTTTTTGATATAGCTACTTGTACGAAGCTCATTTAATTAATAAACCCACAGGAGCAGCCAGCGGTTGTAAAAACACGCTGGTCTTTCAGTAATTGAAATGAAAACACATTCTAAGAAAGCTAGGACACTTTACTGTAGGCTCCACCGTACCTTCCTAGATGCGTGCGGTATAGTGATCCAAGTCTGTCAGCTTCTGGGCAAAAACTGACCTCTGAGGGATTAGGAAACGTGCATATTGACATGTTAATGCCTATTATATGATTTCGAGACAAAAAACTAGTCCCCTTTGGCTGGTACTTATATTAAATGCTAGGAATAGGTCTTTCAACAATTACTCTTCAAACTACTACAGGTACGAAAGGCTAGTAGGATTTGTTACGTGTGGACCCTATGGAAATGCAAAATCTAGAAAACCAGAGTTGCGCTATTCATACTCTAATATATGTCTGAGCACGTGCACTGAGCGCACTGTGGCCGTTATTTCGTTTGCTCGTGGGTGCGTTATGTTTCAATGAGCTGTCACACGGCACAAAAGATATCGGCCTGTTTTTTTTTTTTAATCAGCTGGATACCAGTTACTGGGGCCAGTGTTTTCTTCAATTGTTTGGAGCTACTGGAAGGACTATGTGACGAGTTCTATATTGATATCACTGCTCTGGGGTCATGAATGGGGTAATTGAGCAAGCACCCGACCCGGAATGTCGAAAGCTAAGAGCTAAGCAGATTCGATAGTTTAGGATTCAGCTGACTTACCTGGAAAATAATATTAATGGCTGCGTGTAGAAATTGAAAATACGGAACAATCTCGACAGAGCTAATTATAAAGGCAAGGCCAGAACCAAAAATTAACGACAAGAACCAAACTTTTATTAAACTCTAACATATAATGTGTTATACAGGCTAGACATAGACCGATATAATAGTCTGGTCTGTCATTATGGGGGGGTTGAAAAGGGCTATTGTTCGTGGGGCAGAATGTGAATGGGCTTTTCAGGGAATCTCAAAACAATCACCACCCCTACACAGCGGCAGCCTTCGCAGTGACAGCCTTCGCAGCAGTCGCAGTCAAACCTCTAGCAACTGTAGGCGAGCGGACCATAGTTCCTGCGAATGACATCTCGAACTAATCAAACACACAACTGTCAGCAGCAACACCTCTTGACACACAAATAAAAAAAGAGGCTAGATAAATGGCAACCTCTTTGATAGCCTCTGGGGGCGGGAACACAACGTTTGCTGCCGTGAGACCCTTGATGTGTAGAACGGCCGTGGGGGCGTGGGCGCGGAAGAGGGGAGTTGAAATTGTTGCGGCGGTGCGTACGGAGAGAGATTTCCAGACGAGCATTTTGTATGATTTCTTTTGTTGGCGAGGTGCTTATTTGTGAGGTGCTTATTTGTGAGGTGTTTGTTTGTGAGGTTTACTTATGATAGTGGTGTAGATAGCGAGTGTTGCCGTCCGTAATGAATATGTTGATTGATACTAGACGAGAAGGAGTGGTAGTGGTGGTAGTGGGAGGAGAGCGGGACGGGAGACAGGGAAAGCTAAGAACACATTATGGTATTTGTAGTTTACCGATTTTTCAAGTGGGGGCTTTAGGGTAGAAGAAAAATACTATTTTCATCAACGTTAGCGAATCCCAAAGACCAGTCCAGTCCCTAAAGAGTTTCAAGATTCCATGTCCCAAATGAGTAAGGTTATATATGATGTCAATGATCCAAATGCAACATTTTCCCAAACCTAGTCTAACCAGATCCAAATATCCATGCTGCCGCGCAACCGCAACCGCAAACTATTATTTCCACACACGCACAGCACATATTAACGTACAAGTTCCGCCCTTAAACCCCCAACCCCAAACTTTGAAAAAAAGAAACGCCTCCTTTAATTGTTTCCCTCTCCCTCCCCGCCGGAAAAAGAAAAAAAAAAGAATAGTAGTAATACTGACTAAGTAGTAGATATAAGGCAGTGACAGCAGCAGCAGAAATGGCAGCGGCAGTAATGTACGGCCGGATACTCCTTAGTAAAGAATAGAAAAAAAAATGAAGAAAAAACTCCACAGATGATAAAGGAGGAAGAAAGCCTAAGATACAGATACAAGCAAGCCATCCCAACGAATAAGATAAGATATAAAGAAAAAAAACCGTTAGAAACAGAAATACCCCCCTCCCCCCACAACAGAAGCCGATACCTATTTTTTTTCCCCAAATTGTTGTAACCACAGCCTATCTTTCCTGCTGATCTACACAAGGTTAAAAAGAAATCCCCCTCTCCTCCCGTGCCGTATAATTAAATCTCAAATACCACTGATACTAAAGATCATTTTGGTAAATGTAGAAGGAGTATATATTGTTTAGAGAAACATCAAATCTCTTCACTAAGCAACACTAACTGCTACCATTAGTCCCTGTTACAAAGAAGAAGAAGCAAAAGATAAAAAAGTTTAAAATCAAGGGTTTCTAGATTGCACCAACCTCCTCTGTTTCTTAACCGGGGGTTCCCCCTCCCTCCTTCTGCCGCCTCGGCCCCTGCCCCCTCCGCGGCCACGACTAGGCGTGGTAGCGTGAGGGTCTATCTCCATACTGTCCTCAAGCCCCGCACCCTTCATTGTGTCGGCACGCCGTCTTTTCCCGCCGGTCTTGACGGCTGATTGCGGCGCTGTAGCAGGTGTTGGCATAACTTCATCCCCTGAATCCCCATCATGCCCAGCCTTCTTACGGCCACCACGACCCCTTGGTTTCTTCTCGCCTTCGCCTTCTTGGAGGAATACTTGGGGCTGGTATTTCCGGAGCCAACAGTACACACTCATTGGGTTACGGGGGTCAGACTCCGTCTTTGATGACGGCGATGTTTCAAGGTTTGTTGGTATCTCGCCGCCCAGGTTCTCGTCAATGTTATAGTAGAAGGCCTCCTCCTCCTCCAGGGACATGAGGAACGGCGACGGGTCACGCAGATACGGCGGGGTCTGTCCAGGCGCCGGGTAAATATCGGCCAATGAGATGGGCTTCCTCGGTGGCGTCTGCGGAGGCGGGTGTTCTGCGTTGTCAAGGTCCTCCATGGTCTCATCGACTGGTTCCTGCTTCACTCCCGCCGCGGCCGCAGTTGCAGCAGCCGCGGAGTCGATGGCCTCCTGTTTAGCCTGCTCGACCGCCTCCTTGCGCTCGCGGTCGGCGTCCGCTTTCATCTGGTCGCGAACGTACCGAGGGGGTGTTCCGGGAATCCCGCGCTTGTAGTTTGTCTCCCGGATCTCCTCCAGGTAGGCCTCGCGGTCGTCGTCGTCATCCATGTCGTCGTCCTCGTTGTCTGAATCCCGGTCGCGGCGGTTGCGGGCGTTGAAGCCCCCTTCGTTGTCAGAGTCGGACGAGGTCGAGGACGTATCCGCATCCATAGCTTCCACCTTCGCTTGCAGGGCCCCATTGACAGGGGGGTCGAGAAGAAGTGCCTCCTCGTCCGCGATCTCATCCTGCGGGATTGTGGCAAGTAGCGTAGGCGAGAGGAAGCGAGTTGGCGTCGGACACGACGGTGAGCCGAGGTTGAAGCGGCGCTCTTTGGGGATGTGGGTCGAGGAGTTGAGGTCAACGAGGAGGTCGAGAAGGCGACTGGAGGAGTGAGTGGATTGGTCAGTACGGAACCACAATACGGGAAGGGGGGCAGAGGGGGGCAGAATTGGGAGTGCAAACGTGTTTTCCTCCAATATTCGTCGTACAGCTGCTTTCGCGGTCTGTTCTTGCTTGAAGAGCTTGTCGGAGTCTTTCATGGACTCGTGGAATTTGATGCGGAGCTTGCGGTATTTCTTCCTGTAGTCATGATGGCAGCACTGTCAGCGCACGTAGCGAGGGAGAGGCCATTGTTTCCCAAGAGTGCTGTACTTGTATGATTTATAGTGAGCTCTGTCACCTCCACCGGAGGTGCCATGTTCTGCAGACATTGCTGGTAAGGGCAGGAGGTTTGGTTAATGCCGAGGGAGCGAGAGTTTGATCGTGGTGAGGGAAAGAAAGGGATGGTGTTTACTAGGTGAGGGTGGTGAGAGATAAAGGTACGAAACAGGGGATGGTGGAGGTGAGACGAATGGAAAGAGGGGGCAAGGTGGGTTTAGGTCATAGGCAGGCGATGCCGTCGTGCGTTTCCTCTCTCCCGACTGTTGTTACTATTGATTGTTCTCACGACACGCCAAGCCACCCAGCGCGCCCTAGTTCTATTCAGCATGCGGTACCTTGACGTTGCTGTGTGGCTGACGGTTGTCACACAGCCACATATCCACCAAGCCACGGTTACTCAGAGCCACACTTCACGAGCCTCACCACTAGGGCCAAAACCCTCTCCTCCCCACACTTGCGAAAGACGACTGCTTCTCCCCCAATAGGCTTAGACCGACCCGCAACCACACATCCGAAATCCCAACACCACACCTTCACAATTCGTGATATCGACAGAATTTACCGACACGCCAACTGACTACGCAGCAATCCTTCACGACAATCCCCATCAAACACCCCCTGAAAATTAGCCGACAATGACGAAAGGAACTTCGTGAGTTTTTTTTTCCCTCCATATCTCACCCCGCCCAGTTTTGGCCCGAGAAGGGGGAACTGCTGCTGGTAGAATTTTTTTTGTCTGGGAGATATGGTGGGCTAATTGGACGTCATCTACATACAGCTCGTTCGGAAAGCGCCACGTTAGTTCAACCCCTCCCCCACCCCCCGAAATGCCCCCCCTCTACGGTCCGAGGAAGCTCTGGCTACAGCAGTAGCGGAGCAGAGCAGCGAGCAGAGAGAGAGTTGGAAACATGAAAAGATGGGAAGAAGACGGATATTGACGAGCTCCTTGGAAACCTACAGAACAAGTCGCACACTATGTGCCGTCGCTGTGGCCGCCGCTCTTTCCACATCCAGAAGCACACTTGCTCCAGCTGTGCCTACCCCGCCGCTAAGACCAGGAAGTGTACGTCGTCTCGACCGTTCCGCAGCCACCAGCTCATCATGATATGAGGGGCAGAGCAGAGAGAGAAACAGGAAAACTAACAGAAGGCAGACAACTGGTCCGAGAAGGCCAAGAGGAGAAAGACCACCGGCACCGGCCGCATGAGGTACCTCAAGACCGTCAACAGGAAGTTCAGCAACGGCTTCCAGCAGGGCGCTCCCAAGGGTGCCCGTGGCCCCATCGCAAACACCGTCACCGTCGAATAAACGAAAAAAGCCAAAATAAAAACACCCAGGGGGCATTTTTCTTTTTCTTCCGGTCTTTTTTTTTTTTCGTGGTTTCGGTTGTTGGTTGGAAGGGGGGATTGTGTAAAAAAAGTTTACCAAATAAACGGAAATACTGCAATCACGCCACCACAAAAATCAAAAAAAGTTGGGGGGTTATATCTTCGTTTTTTTTTCCTGGCAGGGCTTCTTGTAGTGTAGAGGGGTGGGGTTTGGGATTTGTCTTGCGCTTGTGTGTGTTGCTTGTATATGGGCAGCTATCTGTTGTTTTTTCTCGCGCCAGTGTTCAATCGGAGTTCTTTTTTTATCCTGGGAAGAATTGGCGACTTGGTTTGGCATGTGCGGGAAGGTTCAAGGGGCTTCATCTACAGCTGTTACGTACGCTACTACGGCCGGGTTTTTGTCGACATACCCGGAATAATCAATCCACCTAATTTCTCGATTCTCTAGTGTTTCTAGCTGTTCCGCGATTGTCGATAACTCTAGAGCCACGATTGATTTCCCATGACTGACCAAAGAGGAATGATCGGCACTGCAGTGATCATGAATATGAGCTCTTTAACCTTGTTTTGAAGCCAGCTATTGCTCGATAATAGTGACTTAAATCCGAGACCCTTTGTCTTCTGCCCGTGTTTCTGATATTCGAGCTCCGCCCAATGCCTCTCTACAATAGCTATTGCTCGATAGTAGTGACATGACACTAATCCGAGACTTCTTGTGCTAAATGTATCCACCATAGCGGCGCTATATGTGTCCAATCGAACCTTATTTATCGGAGCTCTGCTCAATACTCTACCATAGCTATCGCTCGATAATAATGATATAAAACCTGAAAATTCTTGTATTCTCTACTATATTCTCTTATTTGTGTCTAATTGAACCTTATGGCTTCTGCCCGTGTTTCTGGTGCTCGAGCTCCGCAAAATCCCTTCCCACCATAGCTGTTCAATTGAACCTTAAGTCTTCTGCCCATGTTTCTGATGCTCGAGCTCTGCCCAGCGCCTTTCTACCATAGCTAGAGTAACACTCGATAACAATGCTATATCCACTACCAATTTTCCCTATTCATGTCCAATATGCAATTGAACCTTACGCCTATACCAATATCCCGTCTAATAAGTCCGTTTAAAGCCTCATATTTCGGCATTAAAATACAATTAGTACTTTTTACTATCTTCCTACCTAAACCGGTACCTCATCTAATCCAATACAACGACTCTTAGCTGTATCTCATCGCTCATCTATAGCCCGAACAGATGGAGAGGTACGGCATTTCCTGTGGTTTACAATTCGGCCTTAGTTAGCCCTATTATTACAATAACCATAGTCGCACTAAGCTCCATTGAGCTTCTACACCCCCTTGAGACCTTGAGGCTGAGGGTTCATTGGTAGAAGGTAATACCAAAATATCAGAATAAATAATGCAATATCAATGTCTCACCTACTACATATGGTACCAAATCAGGCCTCGTATCTTAAATTGGGGTTGGGATGGATACGAGTTTGTACTCAGTGTTGCTACATTTCTCGACATTTTCGGCAATTCCAAGTCTATCATATCACTTTTAAAGTAGCCAGGTTCTCAGACATAACCCACCCTATTGGAACTCAATTTCACAGCGCGCTCATTCATAATCCACAACAAGCACCACATATGATTAAAAGTTAAGTCATATTCCTAAACTAACTATAACCCAGCACTCTCCACACCTCCAGCACCCTCTACGCAGCCGGAGCCGGCGGCGCCGGCGCAGTACTCGACGCCGCCTTATTCATGCTCGGGATAAACAGCGGCAAGTAACTCTGTCCGCACCGTACCCATTAGCCACCTCTCTCTCACTTCCCACCATACCCCGGTGGATCAATAAGGGGATGGGAAACATACCATTGCCAAAGCCATAACACTCATGCCGACACTAAAGTACGCGGGCTGCTTCCCGCTCGCGACCTGGCCGGGCGTCTCACTGAGCCAGCCCTGGATGGCGAACACGACGGCCGTCCAGCCGATCATCTTGTTGCGCGTGAACATTGCGGCCATGGGCAGGGTGGAGCCGATTGTGCCTGGTGGCGGGAGCGGTTAGTTATGTGTAGGCGGGTTTGGGGGGGGGGGGGAGGGAGTGGTACTGGCGATGTCATTTTCTTCGGCTTTGGCCTCGGTGGGGACGTAGGGGATTACTGAGGGGTGAAGTTAGTATACTGTATAGTGGCCTGTAGAGAGAGTGTGGGGATAGGCGTACTGAGGTCCGCGCGGCGCTGGTCTTTGAGTGTTTTGGACATGTTTGCAGGCGTGAGTGGGTGGGTTTGATGCTGTGGTATATCGCAGTGGAGTGGTGAAGTGAAGTGAAGCTCAGCAGGATCACTGCTTTTGGGCGCAGAACAGAGTGTTAACAAGTCAACCCTGGATAAACCCGGGGAGGCCACCTGGGACGTTTCGCCCTGCGCTACGCAGATTAAGCCTAAAGCACGCTCTCTCGCGCATGCACAGTAATTCCGCAAAAGCGCTCAATTGCAGTCTCTACATCTCCAAGAGCCCGTATCTGCGCAGACACAGCTGTTTCATGCATTTGGTGCTGTCCGTGTGCCCGTTTGTGCCCGTTGGCCTGTGCTCTGAGTCTCCGCCAAGAGTTCGGGGAAAGAAATAATTCCAAGCCTCAACTCAACCCAAAAACTTTCCTTCTGCACACAGATTCGACATATCACGAACCAGCAAAGGAAAAGAAAAAAAGAAGAAAAAGATGTCACGCACAAAGATGAGAGGTCCGGGAAACGGCTCGGAGAAGAAGGACAAATTCCGTGCAAAGAAGCTTGCAGAGAAATTGGCTGCCGCTGAGAATACCACCGCCGGAGAAGAGCCTACGGGAAAGGAAGACAAGAAAGCAAAGAAAGAGAAAAAGGACAAGAAGGAAAAGAAGGAAAAGAAAGATAAGAAGTCCAATCCTGAAGCCGTCGCCGAACCCACCCCCGAGACTCCCGCCGTCACCGAATCCGCAGCCCCCACCACCGAATCCGAAACCCCCGCCGCTCCTGAAGACGCCTCGAGCCCCTCCAAGAAGCGCAAGCGCGACAGCACGACCTCCGAGATCGAGATCGACGTCACCCTCCCCGAACCACCCTCCAAGAAGGCCCTCCGCAAAATCAAAAAGCACCCCGACCTCGCCGACAAGCTCATCAAGCCCTCCCCCGTCGCCGCTGGCGGCGCCGGCACCAGCAGCACCCCCAAAACCGCCGAGAAGGCCGCCGAAGACTTCCCCGAGCACTCCTCGCAGGCGCGCTCCAAATGGGGCATCTGGATCGGCAACCTCGGCTTCTCCACCACCCGCCCGCAGCTCGAAGAGTTCCTCACGCGCCCGCCGTCCACCGTCCAGCGCATCGAGGTCACGCGCATCAACCTCCCCACGGACCCGCGCACGAAGCGCAACAAGGGCTTTGCCTACATCGACTTTGCAAACCAGAAGGCGCTCGACTACGCCCTCACGCTCACGGAGACGCTCTTCCTCGGCCGCAAGGTGCTCATCAAGAACTCGAATGACTTCTCCGGCCGCGGCAGCGGCACCGCCCCCGACGGCAGCGGCGGCCCCGTCAAGCTGGGCCCCAACCTGGCGAGTAAGCCGCCGAGTAAGATCTTGTTTGTGGGGAACCTGGACTTTGCGACGACTGAGGAGGACCTGAAGAGCCATTTTGCGTTCGCGGGCCCCATCCAGAAGATCCGGTTGGCGACGTTCGAGGATACGGGCAAGTGCAAGGGCTTCGGCTTCGTCGATTTCGAGGATATCGACTCTGTGAAGCGCGCCATGCTGGGCCTGTCGGCGGAGGAGGAGGAGACCAAGGCGGGGCTCGAGGGGAAGGAGGAGGAGGAGCTGGCGAAGCGGCAGAAGAAGAGGAGGTTCCTGGGGACCCGGCAGATCAAGATGGAGTATGGCGAGGACTCGAGCGTGAGGTACAAGAAGCGCTTTGGGAAGGACAGGCCGGAGGGGGAGAAGGGGGAGAGGGCCGAGAGGGTCGAGGTGGAAGAGTTCCAGCCCAGGAAGAAGAGGGCGCCGAAGGCCGAGGATGATTGGGCCGAGAGGGCGTGGGAGGAGAAGAGGCAGAGGCAGGATAAGAGGGACACGAACCCTGGCGCCGTGTACAGTAATGATGTGAGGAGGACGGGAGCCATCACGGAGAGTAAGGGGACGAAGATGAAGTTTGACTAGGGTGGCCGTGGACGATCGAGTGAGCGGACATGATGCGCGGTGAAAGTTTGTCGCTTTATTTTTCTCTTTTCTTTCTTTGTTGGCTTTGTGGAGATAAATGCAGGTAATTAGAGGAGTTATCTTAGCCGTAGGAAATGCATACTAGTCTGTTCTCCATAATGCTCTTGTGTTCGTTCCTCTTTTGGTGAGTGCCTGTGGGTGTGTGGTTTGATCTTGTAACAAACTAGGGGAGATAGGCAAATAGATTTCCACAGCCCCCTTGACCCGCCCAGTCCCATCGAGCACCCGCCACATCACCTCAACACCGGCCAAGGAAGATGAAGAATCGATCCCAAATCCAGAAACTACAGAATCCCGAGTAGATCTCATGAGACTTCTTTGGGAGCGCCATACAGACATTTGTGTAAGCCGAGTGATACCCCATGACCCTCCCTTATACCGCATGAATACCCATGGTGTAAGGCCCCTAGTGTAGGAGGTATTTATCTTTGATGATGAGCCTAACAATTAGGAGGTTCAAAAGGAATTAACCCCCCCCCTTAATACTCCACCGACCCCGACTTAGCGTCATACTAATACCACGATATCCCTAACCTCTACTGTACATATGCACATATCTATAACCACTAACACCTAACCCCACACTGGCGCCCCCCCCCCCCCATAGCGGTTTAACGCTGAACGGGTATGTAGAAAGAAGCACTACCTTGACGGCTACATTGGTCCATATATAGGGGCAGCACAGTCACAATACTAGCACATACACACAAGAGTCCTTATTTTCCCGGCCGTACGCACCAAACACAACAAGCCATGGCCCATGGTGCCAAACGCTCGATATATATGGGGTCGTTCAGCAGGTCTGTGGTTCCGCTAGGAGGTCGATACCCATATGCCAGGTAGCTAGAGGGGGGGCGTATTCGCGGTCTCACTGGGTGCGGGACTACATACTCTCTCGCAAGTGTTTTGTCCTAGGCCTTGCGATTGTGCTGTGTTGAATGTATATAGCCAAGGGTGGAGTAGTCTTTAAACCGATTATAAGGGTCACTAAGCTCTGTTCTTTTCATTATAAGTGGGGTGGGTTTGATAGAGTAGAGGAGGTAGGGCACGAAGAGGGTGGCATTGGGGACCAACCGGCCAGAGTTAGGTGGAAATGATTGAATTGCACAAAACACGCTGCCAAGCATCTTTTCTCATCCACCTACTGGCATTAAGTCGTTCTTAAAGGACCCTTCCCGGGGGTTATGGGGAAATTGATGTCTGTTTGGAAATTTTGTTTGCACTCTACGACAAACAGCACTCGTTCCTTAAGGAACTGAACTCCCGAACCAAGAAGCACAGCCAAAGCATTCATTACAGACGTACTACATAGCCAGAACAGGTATCTACCACCCAGCGCAATAACAAAGCCCAATCTACATACAATAAACACCCCCCATTCTTATAACTTCGCCCTAACCTCCGCATTCTTCTTCGCATCCTCCTGCGCCGCCTTCTCCTTCAACACCCTCCTCAATATCTTCCCACTGACACTCTTTGGGATCTCACTAATAAACCTAACCCCCCCTCTCAGCTTCTTATGGTTCGCCACCTTCTCATCAATAAACCTCACCAGCTCCTCCTCCGTCGCCGTCGTGCCCGGCGCCAGCACCACATACGCCCTCGGCACCTCCGTGGCCATCGCCTCAATATGCACCCCCGTGACGGCGCAGTCCGCAACCTTCTCATGGCCGAGCAGCAGGCCCTCCAGCTCCGCGGGCGGCACCTGGAAGCCCTTGTACTTGATCAGCTCCTTGATCCTATCCGTGATCCAGAAGTTGCCATCCTCATCCTGGTGGCCAATATCGCCCGTCTTAAAGTACCCGTCGGGCGTGATCGCATTCGCCGTCGCCGCCGGGTTATTATGGTACCCTAGCATGATATTCGGGCCCTTCATCCACAGCTCGCCCGTCTCGCCGGGGGCCAGCTCCGTGCCGTCTTCGGCCACATACTTTGCCGTCATGTTCGGCAGGAGGGTGCCGACGCTGCCGACCTTCGGGCGCCAGATGTCCCACGGGACGGTGTGGGTGGTGGGCGCGCACTCTGACAGCCCGTAGCCCTGCTTGACGGGGATCTTGAGGCGCGCGTAGAAGGCCTCCACGAGCTCCTTTGTGAGCGGTGCGGCGCCCGAGTTGAGCATGCGGATGGAGGAGAGGTCGTAGTTGTCCACGACGGGGTTCTTTGCGAGGAGGAGCACGACGGGCGGCACGACGTACGAGTAGGTGATTTTGTATTCCTGCACGAGCGCGCAGAACTTTGTGAGGTCGAAGCGGTCCATGACGACGGTGGTGAGGCCGACCCAGAAGGAGACGTGCATGATGCAGGTGAGGCCGTAGACGTGGAAGAAGGGGAGGAAGGCGATGAGGCGGTCGTTCTGGGGGGTCAGGTTGCCCGATTCGCCGGATTCGACTTGGAGCTAGTGGGGGTTGGTTAGTTTAGTTGAACATTGCAATTGCCTTTGGGGGAGCTGTGGGGGAAAGCTTACCACATTGCAGATAAGATTCCGGTGGCTCAACATGACACCTTTTGGCAGCCCGGTAGTCCCAGAACTGTACACCAAGAAGGCAACATCCTTAGATGGGTTGATCTTTGTCCGCCTCCATTTCACGCTCGTGGAAGGGTCAATTAGATCCTTCCAGTGCTTGAACTCGGAGCTCTTCTTGTCTCCTATCAAGATGATGCGGTCCTTTGGAATCCCAGCTTCCGCGGCAGCTTTGGTAGCTATGGGCAGGAAGTCCAGTAATGTAGCAATTGCCTTTGCGCCGCTATCTTTAAGCTGGAACGCCAGCTCCTCAACCGTGTAGGTTGGGTTCGCGGGTGTAATTATTCCCGACGCCCACATAGTTCCCCAGATTAATGGCGGTGTGTCAATGTTGTTGGTACTTGGGGAGAGGTTAGTTATTGCGTCAATTAAGGAGCTTGTGTGGTGCTGGACCAACCTGAAGACTGCTAGAGCGTCGCCCTTGCGCCAGCCCCATTGCGACTTGAGGCCTATTCCGAAGGTGATGGCCTGCTGGCGGATGTCGGCGTAGGTGAGTTCGCGTTTGGTGTTGCCGTCAATGTAGATTACTGTGGATCATAACAAGGTCAGTCTAAAGTATCAATTGGGGTTTATTGTTCTCGAGGAGAGTGCATACCATGGTTATCGGGGTATGCTTTGCTCTCCCGTTCAAACAGGAACGAGAAGATGTCCTTGTCGGGGATTACTACTGGCTTGTGTGCGGATTCTGTAGGCATGGTGGGTATATTTTGGTGTAGATGTCTCGCACTATATTACTCTTGCTTTCACAAATATTTTAGAGAGCAGGAGAAGGTGGGAGAGGTGGTGTTTAAGCAAAAGATGGATGAGGAATGTTGACGTGGATAGACCGAGGATGAACGAATCTGTACAAGACACTAAGCTATCTCGAGTGTTACAGTTCACTGTACCTCGGCCCCGGGGACGGCCCTCTATGGCGCTAATACGCTTAGTTGCGGGGGAAGCTCTACTGGATGCAGCTACATCGCAGATAAAGGTTGGGAGACAGAGATGTCTGTAGACTGTCTCTGTCTCACTTTGAGATTCCACTCGGATAACTCCGCCTAGTTGGGAGGGCGACAGCAATCCTTATCACCGCCCTTATGAAGGATTTCAAATCATGAGGGGGGGGCCAAGCACGCAGCAGCATCATCAAGTTGCATCGCACACATAACCTACCTGCTCTATGTATCTAGAGTACAGCAAGCACTTTCTCGCAGTCCCCTCCGAGGCCTGCAGCGTGGATAGTATTGTCGGGAATGTTGTGTGGGGAAGAAGTCGAAACCGGTTTGGGCGTTGACAGAGTCTGGGGTTTCCCGAATCCCTGTGCCTGCCAGTAGCGGTGCTATAGCTAGCCCACGGATCCCGGCACGCCAGGGCAGATCTGGGTGTCGATCAAACGTTTCCTGGGCAGTCGAATGACTTTCTGTGACGGAGAATTGCAAAACCGTTCCTCAACGTGGAGGGATAATTGCTTCTTCAAAGTGCAAATCTTGGTCCATTTTTGATGTAAGGGGAAACGATCTTGAGGCTTAGCTAGCAGCAACGGTCAGTGTTCAGATTTGACTACTGGCTTGGCGTTCCCCGTTTAACCCCATTTTCGGCTCTCCCGCCGACTGTCCGGAGAAGGAGACGGATACCTACAGGCCTTATGAAACATTCGTTCGGGGACCACAAGTTGCCTTTAGAGGTGTGATGCCCGGGAGGGGGGGGGGGATTAATTGGAAATAATATGGGTTCTTTAGACCTCTTAGAGTTGTTCGATATATGAAGACGCATAAGAAGATCCGTTCTTCGAGGCCTGGTATCTGAGTATTACTACTATGTGTGTATCCTCTTGGAATGTTTAAAAAGTGTCTCTTCATCGATCATCAGGTCACGTACTCCAGAGTGCATGTTGTTAACGTGGTTCGGTTTACTCATAGGCAAACTGTATTTTATCTCAGCTTACTCACATAGTACTCAAGACACGAACAAACAGTGCAGTGTTTTACTGTGCCAGCAACTGTACGAGATGCTCGATTGAGTATAAGCCAGCTCTACAGCGCAGTGTAAACCTCTGCAGCACAATGAACGAATGCCTCATCAGCCTGAGCCCATGTATTTACATCGCTCACTAATCCCAGCAAGGATACTCTTGGCACCGCTCCCGCACTCCGATTATCGCGATAATCACCAACCCTCCCACCCTCCAAAGGTCCCCACCAAAACCCAGCCCAGCCCAGCCCAGCCCAACCCAACCAACCCGCCCCTCCACCCAATTGCAACCCCCCCCCCCCCCCCCCAATCCACAATGGCCTCCCCGCTCCGACACCTCACGCTGCGCCACCTCCCGCGCACCCCCGCCTCCCTCCTCACAACCCCGCAGCGCCGCGCCGCCCGCGCCGTCGACATCCGCCACATCACCACCCGCCCCTCCCCCGCCATCCTCGAAAAGTACCGCGCAAAGCTCGATGCAAAGCTCAAAGCCGAGGGCGTCTCGTCCTTCGACGAGCTCAAGGCCGCCTACAAGGACAAGATCGCGCAGCTACGCAAAGAGGCCGCCGTAGAGCTCCCGCGCTCGCCCGCCGTCGAAGCGGGCCTCGTGCAGCCGCCGCCACCGGTGCCAACCCCCGTCGCGGAGGCCGCAAGAAGAGTCAGTGGTGGCAGCGCAGTGCCGGGCGTAAAGTCGCTGAGCAGCTATGTGGATGTGGAGAAGCTCCGCGAGCTGCCGGGCCCGAAGGAGATTGAGTTTATCTGGAGGGCGCGCTTCGTCGGTGATGGGAACAGCCTGTGCGCGGCGATTCCGCAGGAGAAGTATGCAAAGATGGAGGCGGACGCGAAGAAGCACCCTATGGTAAACTAACTACTCTACTCTACCCGTATTACCCCAATTTGTGTTGACCGCAAGCTAACATTGTCTATCTACGTCTATACAGTTCATCCTCCCCCTCCCGCGCGAAGGCCAAGGCATCGAAATGCAGTTCCTGCAATGGTCCTTCCCCTCGTCCACCTCCTCGACCATGATCTTCACCTCGCTCGAGCAGTACCGGCTACACGGCGAGTTCGCCGTCCCGCACACGACACTGACGCACCATCTCGAGCTCGCGCAGGAGAAGGGCGTCGTGCTCGCGCAGGGCAGCGTCAACCGCGATGCCGGCGTCAGCGCGGACGAGGCCCGGCTGCTGCTCATCTCGCTGCAGAAGTTCTACGGCGCCGGCGAGGACGAGGTGGGCGTGAGGAGGAGGAGGCTGCTGGAGATGTTTAGTAGGGGCGATCGGGACTTTAAGATTACGGATCTGGTGGAGGAGGTGGAGAGGATTGACTAGTGCGTGAAATTGAACTGCTGTAGACTGTATTTTTGGGAAAAAGGGTAGATTGTAATATATGGGAATGGGGGGGAAATGGAATATATCTCTTGTCAAATTAGGTCGTGATATTACAAGTAGTTAGGCTAGCCTCTACATCAACACAATACCAAGCCGTCATGATCACCACTACCGGTTCTGAAATCATTGAACCCCTCTCCCTTACCAAGCCCGAACCCGATACCCACTTCTAGAATTCAATCCACCACCTCCAAACTCCGAAGCTCTTACTTAATCCACTCAATCCCTCCACCGCAACCGCAACCGCAAGCATCCCAACCCCTGCCGGGTATCCGGCACCCACCTCCCTGCAACTGGTTGAACATCCTTATTTGCACAAAACTAGCCTCGGTCTGAGAGAAAATGATTAGTCGTCGGCCCCGAAGTGTGGACAGGAGTTTATTGGAGCATGGATTATCACTCGTTTATTTTTTGGTAGAAGGTGGTCGGGTTTACCGGCTGCGGAGATGAGCGCGGTTTGGCATCGGGGATAGGGTAAAAGATGCGGTGTTTAGGGGTTGTCTGTGTGGTGGTGTCTTTTAAAGGGGGGGGGGGGCGGTATATCGGCCGGTAGAGATGTAGCTAGGTGTGTACTTGGAAGGCATTTAGGTGCTTGGGAAAGAAAGAAAATCTTTTTTCGAATAGTATCAGTGCCGACTACCATTTCTTTACTACCTCTAGGAATATCCGGTAGGCCGGGCCTAAACACGCGGTGTCTAGCCTAGCGAGTAGAAGCTGCCGGTGTTATGGGCCTAGTCCGTTCTCCAGAAAAGTAGAAATTAGTGAAAGGGACTCTAGAAGGTGAGATACGGTACGGGTATTTACATAATGAATTAGCATGGAAATTAATATGAAGAGCTAGATGATGAAGTAATATATGGCAATCTTAACGACGAGCTCTCTAACTAATAAAGCCGATGAAGAGGCTAGACTATGGAGTGTATATATATGTAGCGATTATAAACTCTACTGAGACGGGCTACTCATTACTCTATAACATAAACTCGACATGACCATCCAATATATTAAGACACATAAGGTCTAATTCGCGGCGTCCCCTAACCGCTTCATCAATTCGGTAGACCCAGTTCAAGAGTTCCGGAGCCATACAGCAAAAGTTAGTAAATTAAACCCATCTATTCATCACCATTTACAAACTCCAAACTCCTAGTCCTCCTTGCTCCAATTGATTAGACACCGTATCTACTGCTCTAGTCCACCGGCGAACACCCGCCATTCAAAATAAATTCACCAACGGGGCCGAACGGGATTATATATGTACCATACCCGTGCGTAGTTCCTATCCATATATAGCGACTCTTTTTTTTTCTAATATATTCTTTCGGCATTATTGGGCGTAGGCGCCGCCCATCATCGCCGGTCACCCATCATTTCCAATCACTACCCATCACCCGGTAACTCCATCACCTCTCATCACCAGTCACTCCCAATCACTACCAATCACCCGTCGTCCAGCACTGTCAATCACACGGTCATCTATCAACTCTCATCATCCGTCACTACCAACCCTTCACTGCCTATCACCCGGTAACTGATCCATCACCCCCCATCACCCGTCATTGTTCATCGATCACTATCCATCACCCGGTAACTCCATCACCTCTAATCACCCGTCACTACCAACCCTTCACCGTCAATCACCCATAACTCCATCATCTCCCATCACCCGTCATTTTCGTCCTTCACCGTGCATCACCTGGTAGCTCCAGTCACCTTTTATCACCCGCCGTTGAATCTAGTTATATCAGGCCATAAAATACTACATCCGGTTGTAGAATATCGATTAAACTCTGATTCCCGGATATAACTGCACTAGATATCGAGGCTCGAGACTGAATATGACGGAAAACAATTATTCTTGTTTCCATTAAAGAGGATATGTATCTTTCACAACATTCTGATATTATGTAAAGACACGTTCCGACTCGTTGGTTGATATAAATCAAGTTGTGTATATTACAATAAGGTGTTCTTTGAGGATCCGAACACCTTATATATAATGAACAGTTTTGTGTTCTAAAGGCTGTTCAAACCCAATGACAGCTGTACTCTTGTTGCTAGGATGTCGCAACAAGTACATGTAGTTGAATACATGTACAGTTGTTATTATCATTATTACTATCATTATGGGTAATTTGTAGCCCAAGACCTGATCGGTTTTCGGAATCGATGTCGGTCGGGCCATGGCTTACAGAAGACCATGCCGGACCTATCGGCATGCACTGAGTAATGCTCTGTTCGCGGTATGAGTCCCATAGATATCTATCTCTCAGACAAGCTTTGTCCTTGACTCAGAACCCTTGTCGCCCCTCCCCGGCAACAAAACCTCCAACAAAGAAACTCCACCACCACCACCCCTAACCCCAGTCCGTGCATGCGCAGACTCAGAGCAAGTATCATGATGTGGCACCATCAACTCCCGTCCCTCCTCCAACCCTGAACCCCAAGCCCTCGAATCGGCAAAAAAACACCTCTCGGCGCCAAGAAAAGTCGCTGTATATAACGAGCAGTCTCCCCACGCCCCTCTCGTCTCCTCATACTTACCTGGCGACGAGACCCGGCGCACATGCAGGCCAGGTCTCCGGGGGCGATATAGCCTTCATTGCACATCGAGGGCTGAGCTTCTGCCAAAGGTCTTCGGGCCTTCTGGGTTGCTTAATTTTTGTTTTAAAAAAAAGAGAGAGCCTCTCGCCTGCGCTTCTTTTTTCCCCAGTTGCTTCCTTTGGGCGTGCGCCGAGAGGGTGATTGGTGAATTGAGCGGATGGCAGCTGGCGGTGGGGAAGATGGTGGGGTTTGGGGATTCTGGGGGATTCTGGGGGGTTCTCGGGGATTGGGGCTTGGGTGCCATGATGTTTTCAGTTTCTTTTTGGGCGTGGTCCGAGAGAGTTATTGAAAAGGTTGTGGATTTGGGCTCTTGTGGAACCTTGTGGAACTTGGTCTTCGTGGGTTGGTTGCAGTGATGGCATGAGTATAAACTCGCCCTTCCATGTTCGCAAACATGTTTGATAGCCCCCAATTTAGCTTCCAATTCAGACTCCAAAGGCCGAACTGAGTCGACCTTCTTGCCAGAACCCACGCCCAAAACGTCCCCAAACTCGCTTCCTTCGAGAATCACCCCCTCACCTTCCCTACCGGCGATCCTAGGCCCCCCTCCCTCCTCCACGTGTCGTGTCGTCGTTGCCAGTTGGTCATAGCAGCGGAAATACCCCGAACGCCGCCACGCCACGGACCTGCATACCCTTCCATGCAGCAGCGCCCGACCCCACTCGTGCTCACCGGAAAAGCTAGCTAGGTACTTATGCGACCGAGTGACCTTCGATGACTCCGCTGCCATATGTACCCCCCATACCCCGCCGTTAGGTAGACATCACATCACCTCATTTTTTTTTTATTTTGGGCTCCCATCTATCTCACCCACTTCGCTGCACCTGCAGTTAGTCGTTGAAATCATGCACACTGCACGCAAAACAAGGCCTCGCTATGCACTGTTGATGGTAAACTGGTGATCATTTTGCACTTTTGGCATGCCGGGATCTACGTACGTATGTAGGCAGACAGACAGACAGGTATTTGTGATAGGCGCGATCGACTCGCGCGCTTATGGATGGGTTCATTCTGACGACTTTTGTTTGTCTTTGGTTTTTGTTTTCAGCCTTCTCTAGGCAGCAGGTTGCGGGGTGTTGGGTTGTGGGGATGTTGGTGTTGTCATGCGGGGGGGTTTTCACGCAGCAGGTAGCGGGTTAGACAACTGATGCCTACATTAGGTCCAGGGAAAAAGGTAAGGGAGGTTATGTAGAGCCACTTGACATGGTTCTGATTGTAGATTTAGGCAGGACTTCGATCACTTGGAGATACTTAGCTCTGGGACCTTGGCAGCCGGGATGTGATGGTTTGTGCATCGTGTTTTATCACTCGGTCCTTGGCAGGCCCCAAACTTTATTGATTTGATTTGATCCTATGAAGTAAAATCGCACTGCAAACAAACAATACAAAAAGGCAAAGAGATGATAAAAAAAAGCGTAGTATCGGATACATGCGATCCAACCAAATAAGTAAAATTACATCCATCCACCCATTCATCAAAAGAGCAAGAAAAAGAGAGAGAAAAAGCATAATAAATGTCCCGGTCCCCATACATGCAGTTACTATTCATCAAACATCAGAGGTCACACATCAGACATCCGCCATCCCCATCTCCTTCAACTTCTCATGCAAGAACGCCACCGTGGCCTCAAACCTATCCTGCCCGTTTTTACACGACCCCGAATCCACATGCTGCCCCAACGCGCTCAACGCCGAAAAGCTCTTCATCCCCTGCCTCTTCTCCCCCTTCTTTCTCCGGCCCGCCTTACCACCGCCACCGCCACCAGTGGCATCGTTGGCAGGGGTATCTGGAAACGGACAATGGTAGATTTTCGGTTGATGAACCGACGACCGAAGATGGGTGTGTAGCCCCTCGTGATTCGCAAACTGTTTTGCCCTGGTGGCGGGGCAGAGGGGGCACTTGATGCTTGTTGGCTGCGGCAGGCTGACGATGCTGTCAGTGGATAGTGTAAATACTACGGAGCCGCCGCTGAGGGAGAGCATCTGGTTGATGGCCTCTTCAGATAGTTCAGAGTCGGAAGATGTAAGGTGAACACCGCTCTCGGAGTCACTGGGCGTCAAGTAAACACCGTCTTCAGAGTCACTAGGAGTTAAGTAAACACCGTCATCAGAGTCACTGGGGGTTTGCAGGTAACTGCCACTCTCGCCATCATCCGAAGACATGAAATGGTGTCCATGGGACTGCACAGAGGTTCTGGGCTTGGGAATATATACATCACTCTCCCCAGAGTCACTTGGTGTATTAAGATGCCCATGACGCTGCGCATCGACTCTAGGCACTAAACGGTACCCCTCGTCCGAGTCGGAGTCGGAGTCGGAGTCCGAATCCGAATCCGAACCCGGACCCAAGGCTCTAGAGCGATTATGAGGCACGATAGTTCCCTCACTCCTACTATCATCCGTCAAGGTATCGCTATCAAACTCCTCAAATTTGCTGTCCACATCACTAGGCGTAAAGAGCCCGCTGCCATTTATCGAGTCCGAGTACTCGGAGGAGGCGAGGGAGATTCTGTCCTGGGCTCGTTCCTCAACTGCAACCCGGTTTGTGATGATATTTGTGGGGTCGTTCGCGATGATTATATTGTCAATAAGCTCTCGGTTGATCTTTGAACGGCAAAACCCGCTTTCGATGTGAGTGAGCATTGCATAGGACTTTGAAAACGACTTTTTGCAGCCAATTCCTGGGCATGTCGTTGGTCCGGTATGCGGGGTGAGCGTCACAGTGCTCAGATATTTCGAGAGCTCTTCTATATCGCCGTTGTGTTCGACGTGTGCTGGGACCGCTCGGGGTGGATGGATTGTTATGTCTCCCTTGTGCCTCGAAAGGAGCTTTGCGGTTGGGAAGCTGATGTCACAATCGCAACAGCGGTACTCATCAATCTCAGAGCAGGTGTTTGAAGCCATGTGACGCTTCCGCGCGCTTTTACTAGAAAACCACCGTTCGCTGACACATCGGTTGCATCTCACTTCGTGTCCCTTTAGATGGATTTTGGTTTTGTTGTGTTTTTCTATGTCGCGGAATCCTTTCCAGCAGAGTTTGCAAAATACACTCGACACGGTATCACCTGCGGCGGGCATATTGTTTCTAGCTGTGGGAACTGTGTTTGAAGAGGGCGCTGTTTGTGGAGACGGTGTTGTCTCAGGAGAGGGTATTGTATTTAAAGAGCACATTGTGTTTGACAGGGTAGCTGGCATTGCGCTTACAGAGGGCGATGCGTATTGAGAAGGCGTTGTCTCTAAAGTTGGAATTGTGTTTGTAGTTGCGAGGCTCGTACTTGTTACAGTTCCTTTATGATTATGAGTCTTGAGATGGCTCTGAAGTTTCCGTGTGTTAGCACGGTTGGTTTTGGCGTCAAATAGCAAACTACAAACAGGGCAACGAAGTGAGGTGCAGAAAGTGTTAACGCAATCCGTGGATTGAAAGTGTCGATATCTCGCTCCCTGACTGCTAAAGACTCGAGGACAGGAGCTGCAAGAATATTTAGGGCCCAGTTTGTGAGGTACCTTGTTATCGTGGGGTTCACTTTTAACTATCCAACAAAGCTCGCAAAATGAAGACCCTTTAGGCATGTCCTCCTTTCTTATCGGGATAGTGGTGATAACGGCTCCTTCTTTCGGATTTGAATCTTCTTTCTCTAGAGTCGCCAATGCAAGCCACTCTTCTGGGTCGTTTTCGTAGGCAATAGAGTTAGTTTCTGTTAAGGAATAATCGAGATCGATGTTGGGACTGGAGGGTTCCCGAGAAGGCAGTCTTTTCAAATATTCGGCAGCCGTTGCTGATGAGATATGATCTTTGTGGATTCTCCGATGTAATCTGGGCTCTGACCCTGATGGGGCGAAAATATAACAAACGTCACAGCAGCGTCCTGGACACCCAGGCACAAAAAAGGGGACGACGCCGCAGCCCCGTAACGACCTCTATCTCACAGGACCTGTGAGTGCTAGAGATCTCCACGCAGCAGCCGGCAGGGCGCCGGAATCGAGAAATATCAGATAGAAGCTCTTAGGGACCACTATGATTTAGGGGTTATGAAAATCAAAGAGCTTGTCCGTTGGCGTAAATACGACAGTAAATCCGAGATCGAATGAATGTGGATTTTCTCTCAAGCAATTGTTTTAAAATGCATGTCGATTTCTCGATCCGTAATCAAGAATCCGTTGGTTGAACTCTCTTTCCGACTGTGAGTGTGGAATTTGGTATTTAGAACGTTGCGCCAACAGACCTGAAGTCCTGATGGGTTGATGGGATCGCTTACTTCAGAGTCTTGTTAGAGTGGCAAGCTATATCAAGGAGAGCAAGCTGGACGTTGACAAAGAAGGCGGGGTACGAAGCTTTATCTACTTGCTGGTAAGCAAGTAGATAGCTAGGCTTCAGGCATCCCATAAGCTGGGTTCAGCTACGGGACATACTAGCGGTAACTAGCCGTTGATCCATCGCAAACGAGTTAGATACGATACTCTAAGTAAAACAATACAAGCGCACGGCTTGAATTCTCGCAAGTTGACTGGTACATACAATAGATTCTCGACCAATCCGTGGAGGTTCTCCCGCGTTATGAGTACATACCTACCAGCTGTGCGAGTCACTCATGGAGGTGATACTTGGCATTTTTAACGCCGCTGCCACGCTGCACAAAGGGTTTCATCACTCAGGGAGTTTCGGGGCCTGATCTATAATCTATTAATCAATAAATAGGGCGCCAAATCTTCTTGGTCCTGAGTGGTTTTGAGTGATCCGGGGCGCTGCGTGCTCCTTGATAACTTAGAATACTAGCATACCTTTTTACCCTGTTCCTCGTTTTCTCTATGCTTAGATGTAACTTATTCCTAATCACCCCCGGAGTCCACTTTCATACGGAAGCTGGCTATAGCCAAAACAGCTACATACATGTAGTAGATAAGTTCCAGTCCTTGATCATTGAACTGACAGGCTCCCTGCAGAAAATAGGGCCCATCTCTGGCTTCGCTTCCAAGAGTATATAGAAGAAGGCGGATGAAGAAGATAATGGCAGATATAGAATGGTGTCATCGTATCTCTCATTAAATCAGAGGAGATTTGAATCTTGGAGCAATGTATGATACTTGCTCCCCCGGATGAGTTTAGTAGTCAGTAGGACCAACGGATTGGTATGCGGTTTATCTATTAATCCTAGCATCTTCTCGACCAATAGCATAGTCTTAGAGTTGATGTAACTACGGTACGGTAGGTACAACACGTATTCAAAGAGCTTTGGCCAAGGTGTGAACTTGTAGGAGCTGCAGCGGGCCAGGGATTGTCGATTTAACGGCATATGGACAAATCTAGATATCCCTTGATGCCAAGTCGTGCCTAATGCGGCTCTTTGATGACGAGGCCTCCAAAATTATATACAGAAGGCATTATTCGCGCAAGAAGAGTTTACAACTGTAGAATATGATTAAGACGTATGACCTCCAGCTATCAATGGAATTCTGATGCTGAAGTGGCCTTTCCCACATTCCTTATGGGAATTGTGGGGTTTGAAAGCATTAGCGAGGGGTTGTCCGTCCGCCCCGCAAATGACGTTAGGATCCCCTTCCCTAGGACGGCGACAGGTTTCGGGCAGGGAAACGACAACACCCAGGAAATCATCGCCTCAAATAAGTAATCGATCCTCCTTTTCTTCACATCTACTCTACCCTCTCGACTTCTTCTTTACTACAAACGAGCTTCGTCTTTATTACTGCTTTATCTTACGTGATATCTTCCACACCCCTACAGCTCAGACAGGAAGCTGCACAACAATCAACCCAGTCACAATGCCTTTCCGTGAAGCAATTCGAGGGATTAGCAACGGGTTCCATCGGGACGATGTAAAGCTTGTCCCTTTCCTTTCACCATCATATTCTGAATCTCTGAGAGAGATTGAGAGCTTATGCTAACATGTGATCTGAGTGGTAGAATTTCAGACCTGAGGATCCATATCTATCGTGTATGACCCCCCCTCTTAGCTTAAATTACAATGACCAAGACATTGCAAGCTAACTAAACGCTAGATCACGATATCTGCCGTATGTCTACTTCCAAGGGTAGAGGTTTAAATGTGGTACTACACCGGTCTGACCAGCAGCTTTGAATTTCTCCAAGAATAGTCACTAGGGAGGACATAGACTGCTTGAAGAATGACTGGCTTACCGACAATGTATGATTCAATACGTCTTCCATCATCTCTAAAGACAACTACTGATCATCATCCATAGAATATTTCCTTCTGGGAAGAGTGCGTAGACAATCATTTGTTCGACGCGATTCAATTAATTCCCACTAACAGTTATCCCACGCCTCTCGCTGTTCTACGAATATAGGTACCTTGAACACGAGAAGCTCTCAAAGCAGTCTACATCAAAGATTATACTTCTCAGGCCTTCTATGGCATTCCTCCTCAAGTCTACTAATGGTGAGAACCCTATCCTTAATTTCTAAAGAGGTAGCTGATAGTCCTTCCCAAAGATCCCATGTCCCTACGCACAGCTCTCCCCGATGTTCGCAGTGCTTCCCACATATTCCTCCCAATAAACGATTGCCGCAATCCAGCAATTCCCGAGGGTGGCTCTCACTGGTCCTTACTCGTGGTGGGCGTACGTGATAGGGTTGCATTTCATTACGACTCGTTGTCGCCAGCCAATTATACCGAGGCCCGGATGGTTGTGCACAAGCTGGAACCATTGCTCGGGTTCCAGTTAAGATTAAGCAATATCGAAGATACCCCACAGCAGGATAACGGGAGTGATTGCGGGGTGCATGTCTGCTGGGCTATGAAGCATCTGCTCGTTAGGAGATTACTCGCTGTGGAGGCAGAGAAGGAAGTTAACATGAGTTTGGGGGGCAAAAGGGTAGATGCAAACGGTGTACGGAAGGAGATGTTGAAAGTTTGTGAATCCTTGAGGAAGAAGGCCTCAAGAAGGTAATTGCCACGTGCCCGTATACCCTTGCTACTAAGGGAAAGTACGGATTCGGTTTCTGACAAGCTGACCTTTTGGAGTAGTCAAAGCCCCAAAAAATCCTCCGAAGGCCGAACAAGCCCACCCAGAATCGGCGCCGAGAAGGAAAACGCGGCCGCGGATTAATGTGTAACCTTTCTTTCCCCTTTACTCTGCGCATGATGACTCTACAAAACAACGCCATGTTACATACGTCTGGCTCTGCTTTCTTGTCTCCTAGCATTGCTTTTGTTCTATCTTCACTTCTCCCAGAAACGGGTTTTCGGCACGTACACCAGTGGCCATTTTTTAGCTTTTCGGTTTTATTCCACCCCGGGCCAGAATTTCATTAGTTGAGTGGAACAGAAATATATCAGAGCCCATTTTTCATTATTTCCTTTTTTTCCTTTTTTCTTTTTTTTCTTTTTAATATATTCGCATCTGGGCGCTGAATTCGGGTGATCGTTGATGATCCGCTGCACGAAACGGGGAGTATTTTACAAAACTTGGGGCTGGAATACTTTTGTACTATACACTATCAGGAAGGATTGCTTTTTAGAATCAATATGCGGTCCGCTCCGTGCTCTTCTTACGCAAGCTCCGGAGGGAGGCGGGATTTCTCGAGCTTCTATATATCGCGATGGTATGGATGGGAAATGAGAGAAAGAACGGAACTAACTCGCGGAAGTCCGAATACCCACAGAAGTGTGGGGTGCATATCCCTAGTTCTTCAATCCATAAATTACGCTTCATCTCGCATCCAATTTCACTAGCCCCATAACACCCCTTAACCCAACCCAACCCCCAGTAACGAAGAGCACCAGTATGCAAAACTACCGAGACCTGACTTACCAGGGACCCCCCTTCCCAAGTAGAGCAAAAGCTCAAAGTGTCTCAGCGCCGGCTCGCCCCGCCAAGGCCCACCGTCATCCACAAACCCTAGCACGTGGGCCCTACAGGACTTGATAAGGTTATCGATAACCGATAAGGGCAGCCACCGCGCACCATTTGCACTTTGGGAATGACACGGGGTTTCGGGTTTGTAATGGAAACTGCTACTCTTTTCGCTTACGAGTTTGTATTGGGTGGTGGATTAACGATGACCCGGCCTTTTATATGGGGGCGGTGGTGAGAGTGAGTGTGAAGTGTGAGGTGTGAGTGTGGGTGAGTGACAACAACATGCCGAGTGACTGTGATGGTGACACAGAACGAAGGAAGGGAGGGAGGGAGGGAGGGAAGGGGAGGGAAGGAAGGGGGTAGAGATTGGAAATACCAACTTAGCAAACCGGAAAATACGGGGGTGAGAGTGTGTGTGGGTGGGTGGTAGCGGAGCCTCAGTTTCGAGCAAACAAGTTGGTGGAATCCGGAAACGGATCAATATATCGAATTCCCGACAAAACCTCGGTCTACAGAGTCGAGGAAGTGGGGGAGGAGGCAAACAACACAGCCGCATCATGTACATATGTATGTACAATGTATGTATGCTGTATGTACGAGTTAATTCGGTGGCGGAGAGGCATGGTGTAAATAACTCAAAAAGTTATGATAGTATGTATTTACAAGTTCGTAAAATGCTTCGTTAAACAAATCGAAACCCCCCCTTTCTCCCCGCTCCAAACAGACCCCATATGTGTACTCCAGCGGCCGATATAGAATTCCACCCAGTAAATAATCGAAATAATACCCAGAGTCCCTAGGTAGAAAAATACTTAAGAAATGAAGAAAGAAAGCACAAGAAAATGATGGGAAGAGATGTGAAAATATGTGCCGTGAGATTAATCAAAAACGAGAATGAGAAAAAGGGAGGTCAAATCTAACATGATAGGCAGAGTAGAATAATGAACGAAGAGAGATAAAGACAAACAACCACACCCGCCACAATAAAAAAAAAAAAGAATCCCAATTCAAAGAACAGATAGAGAAATAAAAAAAACCACCCAGTAGACAAGACGATAAACAAATTGAACCTCCAAGGGAGAAGAAAAGAGCACAGTGATATGATTATGTCCCCGCACCCCTCTTTCCAAACCCAAAAAAGAACAAATGCGATGTGGTTAACAATGCCCGCGAACAAAAAACATATGCAGCACAAAAAAAAGAACAAATCGACAGAAAATGATGAATAGAGAAGAAAAACACAAAAGCAAAAGATTATAAGCGCCATCACATTCCCCTATCCTACTTCAACCTCCAATGCTTTCAAAGAAGTCTCCCATCATATCAATGATAGAGCCCAGTGCAGATGCCAATGACGCCCCCATTTCCCACAAATCTCTACATTCACATCAGTCGCATAACTAAATCCGACCAGCGCCCATATATAAGAAAAACGAACGCCCTGTCCCTCGTATAATAAACCACCTCATCCGCCACTTCCCCGGAATCAATTGTTCGGTCTTTCGTCTAGGTGCTAAATGGGCCCTTCTCGCGCTTTAACAATAAACAAACACTAATAAAAAATAGCAGCCGATCTTTCGCAATATTCGCCTAAACAATCTAAAAAGAAAATCGAAGAGAAAAGTCGATCGCTTCCCGCCCAAAGAGTTTGTTGAAAAAAAATATAAGTATAGTGCTGATTTCAAGATGGTGCCGGCCAAAACGTGTAGTACGTGGCCGGGCAAAAAGCATCTCCTAGCGACCTGTGGCGGTTGATACGTCACCACGGCTTTATGCTTTCACAGCTCAATTCGCCGCTGGGTCCGCTGGAGGACCTATTCCCCTAAGATCCGCATTGGCCACCGCTTCTCGTGCATAGAATTGCACCAGCATTGTCCCATATGCCTCCAGCTCCTCTACGGGCACGGCAAGTCGGAAATCATTGAGAATGAGAAATTGAAGTTCTAGGTGGTTTAGTTCTTGTAATGGTAAACCGCCAACCTTAAAATCGATTAGTAAGCTGCAGAAAAGTGTATCAAAAGCGGGGGTTATACTTTTGCATATCTAGAATTTGTATAAAAAACATCAGAGAAGAACTTCGAAGCACATGTTACGCCAGCAATGACAAGCCTGTGAATATTGAAGCTGTCTACTACGAAAAAGTGCGAGAAATTGTATGGGTCAGAGGCAATGACACCAGGAGAGCTGAGTTCCCCATTTGAGACCGTGGACCCCCCCTTCCAGTTCAATGGTGGGTTTCTGTTCACTCTTTCAGTCATGCGATCAAAGTAAACCAACAACGATAGAAACACTTCGTATGTTGTTGGGCAGTATTTATGTATCCGAGATAGGTAGCTGAGAATTGTTATGCTGGGAACATTTTTCCCGTGGAATGCTAGAACGCTGTTTGTGGTATTGCTCATGCCGCTGGTTTCTGGCGGGGGTATGCCTCGGTGCATTTGTGAATGTTGTTGATCGTTTGTGGTCGTGATCTTTGTTAAAAGACCCGCTACCATCTCTATTACATCCGTTACTGGCATTCCGCTGATCTCGTACCGCTTCCTATCCTCTTCCCCGCTGCGATTCCTCCGAGATGGGGAATGCGGTAAAGGCTCCTCTCTAGGCAACTCGACTACTTGTGATAAATTCTGTAGAATTACGGGTGCCGAGTCCTCTGATCTTCGACCCGATCGTGCTGGTGATTGTCTTGATCTGGGAGAAGGTGTGGCAGGGGTGGATGTGGGATGCGGTTGTTCGGGATGGGAATGCTGTTGGTGGGTGTGTATTGGCGTTGAAGAATGCGATGCCGATGATGATGTTGATGATGATGGGTGGTGTCTAAATACCGTTGTTGTTGTTGGTGTGGCCCCGCGAGCTGATGTGGGAGGTGGTTGGATTAATGTGGAGGTAGCAGAAGCCGATGATCGGGCAGACGTCCATTGCTCTGACGACGTTACCGAACTTGTTGTAGAAGCATGAGGCAGTGATGAACGATGATAAGCGCTGCCCTCGGACTGCGTGGCCGCGATCATGATGTTTTCGGGTCGGAATCCTACCTGCATTGTAGCTCCCGGCAAATATGCCAACGGTTCGAGTTAGTCTTCAAATTGAGTAGTTTGAAAACAATAAACCAAGTAGACGGGGAGTATTATGCATCTCGTACCCTGAGGGGGGCTAAAAGCGAGAAAGGGAGGGAGTACAAGAAGAGGAGGAGCACAAGAGGGAACACCACATAGAGTGAGGGAGGGCAGCTGCTGGTCTAGAGAAAGAGGCAGGGCAGGGCAGCGGGAAGTAAGTTACAAGCGGGAAGGCACGAAGCAAGAGAGACCCTGCAGTAGCAAGAATAAACCCCTCAGCCAGCCTGAGAAGAGGATGTTCGTGGGACCCCCCTGGACGTCATTACGCCGCAGTTGCATAGGGGGAACGAGCGCACAAGACACAGCGACGACCTGGTCATTGTGTCTCGCGCACAGCAGGTCTCAATGATAGAAAAAACAACGTACCTGCAGCATTTCTGAGTAAGGGACTGTGAAATTGGGATTTGGTTATTTGGATTATCTGAGACTAGGTGCGACGGGTGCCGGTGTTGTGATGTTGTTGCCGTTGTCTAAGGGAGGTGGAGGTAGGTAGATTATGAGGAGAATGAGGAGGTGGTGGTGGTGGTGGTGGTGAAGGAGAAGAAGTAGTAGGAAGAGAGGGGAAGTCGGGTCGTTTCTTGGTGACAAAAGAAGGGGGGGGGGGGGGTGTAAGTAGCAATATACAAACAGATGTTTATCTAGCTACTGGGAAGTTAACTGGGGAAGAGAGGAGAAGGTCGATGATGATGAAGCTATTAGATTAAGAAGACAGTGCAGCAGTGCCAGTTTCAAAAAGCGCGCCAACAAGTAAGCAGCAGGCGGCAACTATGAGGTATGTGGGAGGGATTATGTACTCCGATGCAGCGATGGATGGGGATGTGAGGTGCGCGATACAAAAACGGGCTTGGTGGCTATCGGGTGGATCTGTATGTATCTAACGAATTGATAGTCTGTGTGGAGTGGAAGGCGGGCAATTATCGGCGGGACCGGTTTTTTGGTGTGTGTAGGTACTTTATGCAGTGGACAGGTATGTATGGATGTAGGTATGCCAGGCGCAGCAGGCAGGCAAGCAACTAGGAAGGCAAGAAAGCAGGCAGGCAGGTATGTAGATAGAGTACTCTAGATGGTCGGTAACGTCGAAGAAAGAAGGGTTGATTTCCTCCCGTGAAGCGATTGTAATGCACAAAACCTTCGATTCACAACCATGTAAATCGAGCGCCCTGTTGCGTTTATTTATTCCCTCCGCGAAAGGCCCTTAGAGTATCCCCCCACCCTCCCTAATACACATCAAGTAGAGTACACGCAATAAATAAGACTTTCCCCTCTGGTCTAATATGCAGAGTGTGAGTGAGCAGTGAGTGATTGAGTGAGTGAGTGTGGCCAGTAACGCAAGGAGAGAGGAAAACCGCGTCTGTAACTACCTCAAACAAACAGAGAGGCTGTAAAGGTGAGGACGACAGCCTGAGTGATCTCTGCGTGCTAAATCTCGTCGATTGATAGGAGAATGAGACAAATCAACCCAACCAACTTTCGCGCATCGAGCACTTGAGTAGTCCCGGCACATGTTCCTTTGGGGGGGGGGGGGGGGGGTGTGACATCCCTGCCAGTACTTAACTATCGGTATTTACCGTTTCGTGATGTCCCCTTTTAGAAACTGTTTCACTGGGAGCACAAGCTCCGCAGGTGTGCAAGCTCGACTACAAGCCCACATTGTTCAACCTCACTTCCTAGATGTACATATAGCTGTTCCTCAACACCACAGCCTGTGAAAAACTCCCTCCACCGCGGACATGAAGCATTTGGCTTGTTAGTACAATTTTTGCCATTCTCTATCCCTTAAAATTCCCAATTAACAGCGCCAAAAGAAACCCTATAACCCTTTGTCGCTTCTGATACATAGATAGCCTGAATAGGTATATATACCAGGCCGTTGGTAGCACGTTCCAACAACCAGTTTCTGGGACAGCTAACCCAAATCGGCATCAGGCGTATGTCTCTAGTAAACGTGGCATTTCACATAGGTTCCGCAGTGTTGGGTCTGGTTGAATCTACGCGTGAGATCTGCAATTTCAGATCTGTAGACAAGATCAGCCAAATCCAGAAAGATTCCGTTTTCTGGACAGAAACGGCACCTTTTCTTACGTCAATTGGGTCCTCAAGCGGTGCTAGAGACTAATAAGATTGAGGACATTCAAAAATATGTCGCTGTTGCAGGAGATGTGATATATGATGTTTCGAAAATATTTCTGAAGAATGTCAAAAGATGAAACACTTTTTGAATTGCTTTTGATAAACGCACGGCATCTTGGCGCCTCATTCGGTATTTGACCGCAATTTGCCGGCATAGTCCAATCAGTAGGCTATCAATACCGATGAACCCCAGGAAGCCAGCCCGAGCATTGTTTCCTCCCAATAATATCCCAAACATTCACTGCACGCAAGGTACCGGATGAATTGAGCCATCACCCATTAAATCGGCGAGTAACGGAAGGTTACCAGAACCATGGTTGACTCTTTCCCGGTCCCGGTCCTGCATTTCAAAAAATTATGGTTATATATCATCACAATCGCAATTGCCAAAAGATACACCTCTATGTCCCATCCTGTTCTTCACAGCCCCGAGGTTCCCCGACTAGCCTTGGACAACTAAACTTGAACGTGACACAGTCCGAGGCTGATCACAGCCTATCACTCGCATATAGATTTCCTCATTCGCCACCACGACTAACCAAACTTTCCCGAGCAACGCCACCAAAACAACATGCAACATCTCAAATCAAATTCCACGATTCGACCATAATCGAACCTCTTCTAGTAGCCCTACCCACAAAGCACTGCCCGGTTGTGTTTTGAAGGTTAGTTGTTAGTTACATGTACCTAGCTATGACTCGCTTGTACTTTAGCTAGCAGGCGCCGAATCACTTTCCCCATGCTTGTTTTACAGGGGAAACAATTGGCCAAAAGGATAGAATTACCCGGCTTAGCGAAGCGTGCAAGCAAGTCATAGTACCTGTGTACCCGCTATCATCCATAAGAACCTGAAAATGCAAGTGACAGTTACAAGGATTATTTGTATGTAGTGGCGCCGTTCTCCCATAGAAATTATCCCTGTCTTATTCACCTGCATTTTCAGGTTCTTATGGATGATAGCGAGTATATGGTTGTGTTTGAGCCTCCGATCTGGATTGCAGGGGACCCCCACCCCTGGCTGCCAAGGATTGTGGTATCAACGTCCTCCATGGTGACTCCGAGCATGAGGTGATGCAAGGTTAATGTGTATACCTAACTCATTCACGGGGTTACCGTCTATTTCTGGAGGAAGGAGGGATAGATACAGCCAGACATATCATCCTTTATGCTGTGCCATTATCAGGCGAGGCGGAGAGTGGGGTAAAGAAACAGTGCGGGGTGATTGTTATCAGTGAGCGGGTTATCAGTAGCTCCTAGGATCTAGGAGGCGCTCTTGGAGGTCCCGCGCAGGTTTGATTGGAGAAGCGTGCCCTTGGAATTGAAGATAGCTCCTTAGTGGTTAGCTTGCGCATTAGTTGATGGGGTAATAAAGGCTCGGCAGAACATGTAGTAAAGGATAAACAGTTGATTGGCTGAACGTGGGTGAGTTGTTCAATAACAGGGAGTACTAATTATTCGATGAGAAACATTGGCGAGACTAGATTCTTTCAAGATTAATGGAACTCTCCTCAATGTTCGATACCTTTAAAGGCAATGTTTCCGAGTTGTTTCTGGTTTAGGGCTTGCTCTGGTGATATGGCTAGAATAATAGGGCAGCTAGTCTACTATTCGTAGGAGTAGTTATTTACTTCCTGGTAAGTTGGAGATTTGGGAGTTGTACCTGGAGGTGTCGAGAAACGCGAGTATGAAGGGACAACATGCAAGAAGGTGTATTGGCGAGTATGTACATAGATGAACTACATGTAGGCGTAAGATCTTTCTGTCTAGCTAAATAAAGTTAACACAAATTATCTCGTTAGTGCCACAATGTTTAAAGACAGCGAAAAACTACATGTACATCAAGTTAACAAACACTGGGCCGTTTCTATTTAGAGTTTTCTGCTTTAATATACATATACATTACAGTTTTTATTAAGAATACCACTCTATCAGTCCAATTTCTTGTAAGTAGGTGGAAGAGTTCGATCAGTTGCGAACGGACAGGCCCATGACCTGCTTATTGTCGAAAGAATTGGTGATACACATAATCACTAACTAACTACATGGAAAAGGAGTAGCTAGTCTTCCTCAGGCTCGATCGCAGCTGACCCCAGTCAGTTTCCCGATATATTTCGGGGTAGGCAGAGAGTTTGTGTGGGACACTTCCGTTATGAAAGCCGGGTTGGTGCATGTAAATTAGAATCTGGAAAGAGAGATCCTGTGATCATGACTGCAGCAAAGGGTTGGGGTTTGTGGCCGCTTACTGGGCGAAGGGAGTCACGGGCCATGATAAATAAACGGGCTTATCCCCGCCGGTGAAATAACCGAATGTAGAGACACAAGGATACAAAACACGTCAGTGATCGCGAGTTTTGCATTGACTTACTTAGTAAGATTTTTGTGTTTCTGCATGCCGTTGTAATAAGCAATCTTGCCACGGGTCCGTGATTGCCATAGCCCATTATGCAAGTTAAACCTGACACTGGCCGATACCGAGTGATAGATTATGATTGTGAATTGGAATAGGTCTTAGGTGTATATATACATGTAGTACCAGCTATTGGAATAAGTAACGTACAAATGGGCGAGAAATTGTGCAATAATGCTGTATATAGTAGCAGTATTCTAACACGTAGAGCGGGAATATTCTAGTCGCCGTATGGTATCGTCTTTTCCAGTGGTAGGTGTGTCCTTCACACTATTATTAAGATCATACAGTGCGGAGCCATTAATAAGTCTTAGAGAGATCTGATGCCTAAAGTTTCAGAGAAAGAGAGCGAGTTGAT